TAGTATATGATATTAGGTACACTTGTTCCAGTGAGGTATTCCCCCTTTCTATTGCTTTAAAACGGTCCTTGCAGAATGGCAAATTGAGTGCGACGCAGAAGTATAAAAATCCACACAGCAGCTTTCCAAAAATATAATTATATAATAATATAAGTTATGATATTTTGGTGTATCCAATTATAAATAATGAATAAAAAGCCTTCTCACACGTATCCTCTTAAACTAAAGGTGTGTATACCATCAGTGCTGCAAGTCAATCGCAATTGAGTTCATCGCAGGCCATTGATCCGCTGACATCTGGACATTTAAAACTAACTGCTGACATTACAAGGGAAAGATCCTAAAAAGAACCAAATCTAAGAAGGAAATTTGCATCATTCCTAAACCATGTGACCATGACAATTATTATGTCATAATAAGACTTTTACGACCTTGACAGTTATTGAGTAAACGACGTCAGTGGATTTGTTATTTTTTCCTATTTGTGTTTCATTTGTTTTTCTCGTATTCCTTCCGGATGGACACGGAAGTGATATGTCAGAGCATATAACGGAGAACACAAGAAACAATAGTATTGGGGATTTTCTTGGCTGAAACGGAACACCAGCCACTGTTTTTGCTCAGATAACTATGAAAGGGATCATGTGGTTTTCAGGCGTGTGAGTAAAATGCCATTATGCGTGTTTTTATTGACAACAGTTTAAATCACAATCATATACTGACAAAACGTAACGTCAGCTCCTCTCCATATAAATGTAAATACTGTAAGAATACTTAAATGAATAAAGTAAAACAACATGAGACACATGTCGATTTTAAATTTACTCAATAATTCAGAGCAAAAGAGAGAACTGGATCAAACTAAAAAATCGCAATGCACTTGAATACCAATATACTGGTATAATAATTATTGTTGGGTCTTTCATGTTTGAATTTGCCAAGCCCTCTTTTGAGGAATTAGAAAATATAGCATGTTGCGAGTTGGAAAAGAAGAACTAAGACTCTGAGTACAAATTGGTATATTTATAAAAGAGGATATATATACTGTAATTTGTGATTATTTTAAAAATTGAGTTGATATAATTCGATTGGCATCGCCCTTTGCCTTCAAATCAACGTTTATTGTATGATTGTTTTGTATACTTGAAAGTGAAAATGAATCAGAGTGCGAGGTACGATATTCAACCAGGTGAGTGTACATGTACATTATACGCTACTTCCGTATTTTACATAGCAGTTGTTCTTTTGGCTGAAGCGAAATTTAGTCAGAGTACAAAAATATCATTCTGACAGTGCAGCGCGTCAATTCTTAACATAAAAGGAGCTGGAGGTTTGGATAAATGTTGTCACATCAAAAACAAGGGGAGAGAAACAAAGCGAACTATATATGCCAAGTAAAGCAATAAATTGGATGACTGGTTAGTTGCCTTTGCTGTACAAGACTTACTTCAAGTTAGACGACAATAACTGGTCACGGAACCTGCTACACTGTAAAGCAAGGTAGGTTTGGAAGCTGAAAGATTAAATATTTCACCAAGAATACATGTGCGATATGAAAATAATATGTGTAAAGCCTAAACGACTTGCGTGTGTGTACCTCGTCGACAATACTCAGTCCACAAGTTCCGTATTAACAAATTATACAGCAACACTATAGATGAGTATATTAAGGCACGGGACCAAGCATAATTGAACCACAGAACACTAATCACTTAGCGAGATCTGAAATCCTGGTATCCAGTGTGTGGAATGGCGTATTAAGTAAAACTCATCGAGGTATGTGTGGTATGCGAAGAATTTCACATGGTATTTCCGCGGAATCTCCTTGACTAAACAAAGGACTGCTACCAAGACAATGACAATCGATCACGACGCTGCTGGCGTTGGGCTATCGGTATTTTTCTCTTGAGTTCTTGGACGAGCACGGATTGAGCATGGGCGTTACTGCAACACGCCCTTGCCTTTTGGCGTATAGATCATGCGTAATAGCTTACACGTGTCTGCGTAGCTCAGTAATCAAATCCATCTTACAAAAGGCGCGGGTACGCAGCGGCCGGTTGCTAAGTACAAATACAAAATTCATGTACATGTACATATACACGAATGTATGTACACTTCGGTCCATTGTTTCGGGTGCATGGCATCGTGGAAGTATAAATAGGAGTGAAGCTGAGTCATAACTGAGGGATATCCCAAGACTTGCGGTTATTCTTGTCACAATTAGCTTTTATTGTGACGATGCTCACAATGATGGAATGTATCCTACAGTATATCAGCCACATCCCCTCAGCCAAATATGTTGAAGGTGTAGAGTGTTTGTCCACGCCCTAAATTGTATTACCAGAGGAAACCATGAAAAATTCCAGACTATATATACGAACAATAGTATTTACAGCGTGGGATGTACCAGCGGCATTGACCGAATGGAATGTGACAAAGACATATTATTTGCGTTATCATTCATTTATAACCTTCCACAGTAAGCTTAGAAAACACATTCCTGTTTATATGTGACTAATCTTATTTGTCTTATCTATCGCAACTATTAAAGAAAGTCATTTGTTTATTATAAAATTTATTGTGCAAAAACCGAACAATTTGCGCTGATAAAAATATGAGCCTGGTAACGTATGTTTCTGGTTCTATGCTAAATTCCATGTTTCTCAGCTCCGTGAAATTGACCAAAGGATGACATAAAAAATAAATTAAAAATCGTCAAATACTAATGAAGTTAAATGGGAAAACTCTGTAATGATTTCATTCAAATATTCATAAGTTTCGCGTAAATTTGGAAAACAGTCTGCAAGTCGAAACTGAGACGTAATCAGTCGATTTAAAGACGGCGATTAACAAAATAAAAAGTAGAACCAACCTCCACCGAAAAGGAATCTATGTAGTGCATGAAATATAATAGTGGCAATTTTCCTTAGTAACAGCAATGTTTATTAAAATACACATACAGGCAACCAATTATTAACATTCTTGATAACATAAAAATGGTTCACACGAAACGTACGCGGAGAAATGAATGTTTATAAAAGTTATAGAAATTGTCCATGTCATGCAGGGCTTATTAAACAGTTACAAGAACGTTTAAATGCAATATTTACAAACCAAGTGCAGTCAATAACAGTGCAGAATATTTTTCTTTTATTAGAAAGTCTTTTATAAGTGGAGCATGATTAATACATCTCAATCTGGAAAATCTGAAAAACGGGCTTGAAGAGCGAGTTGTCCTGTCGCTGGCCATCTAAGAGTGCCACTCTTAACCGACACTGATGAAGCATGGTCGTGCAGGCATATATGCACCACCACAGCATAATTTATTCCATTAAGCAATCGGCTAAGAAACTACTTTAGGCGGTCGATGTAACTCTACTGAGAATTCTAAATTTAGTGCCTTACACAAGGAGCATATATACAGCGTCTTGTTATTCGAGGTTGAATTATGATAATTCAGGTCACAACGCAAACTCGCTATGCAAGATTACTAACTGAATAATTGAATAAATTAAATTAAATCTCAACATTTCTACAATTTATTCCGTATGGATATTTTGATGAAGTAGTAGTAGTATTAAAATCCTGCAATATCCTGTTTTGGGTACAATTTTCCAAAATGAATTTGACAGATTTTTTCCAATAGACCAAGATTAATAAAAAAAAAATTTTCTAGGATCGATAAATAACTAAGGTGAAAAGGAACAACTACTTTTTGAGTCTACTTATTGAAACCACATGGGTGTTCCCCCCATGCCCTAATTAAGGGCACCTCACTACAGATCAAAATTAATACGCATATGTACACATGTACATATACATATACCTGTACAGTACATTGTAGATGTAATGTATTTGTACATGTACATGTGTACATATTGTGAACGTATTATACATGTACAATGTACATGTATAATACGTTCACAATATGTACATGTACATGTCATGTACATTGTGTACAGTACATGTACAGTACGTGTATAATAGGCTACATATACACGTACATGTACATGTACAGTACATGTCATGCATATGTACATGTACATGTACAGTGTACAGTGCAGTGCAGTACGCGCACATTTCGTGTTGCTAGCAACCAGTTATAGTAAACAGTGATAGTGATTGGATAACCGGTTTGACGTCAGAGGATTCGCCCTATGCACGCAGAAATGAATGGTGAATAGCTTATGACGCACGGCCGGGTTATTTATTTATGTAAATAAAAGACTGTCGCTTAGCAACATGAATATGCAACAGATATGAATATTTATAATCTTCTGGAAAGGTCCAGAAAATTAGCTCCGGCAATCGCGCCACAGAATTTAGGTTGATTTTCTTGTAGGATATCAAGAATTTGTGGTTTATTGATCCTTGTAGAATTTGAGACATTTATTAGTGCTCTTGCAGATGGAAAAGCTGTACAAAAAATGCGAAAGCCAAAAGGGAACTTCTATGACGCGCACGATCTCGCCATTCCACACGTTAACGCTTCTGGCAAACGAACATGAATATTAATATCATAGTAGGTTACATCACACTCCGAAAATAGAACGGAACGTGAGTGTACGTGTGAATGCAAGCGCAAGCCCATGCAGATCTGCGGAGCTGAATGTATATAATACGATGAGATTCTGGGACAACCCCAATAGCATCAGTTGTGACTCATCATAGTGGAAGCCCTGACAAACGAGCCTTTCCCGAACGAACATACGAACTCTTCCGAAGCTCACCGAATCTAAAAGACACTAAAGACATTGTTATTCATCCTACAGAATATAGAGCCTCAACGGAAGTGCGGAATATTTAGAGACTTGTGCGCCCAAGAGAGAGCTAGATTTTTTCGTTGTAGCCAACTGCTTGGCATGTACCCCAACGTTACGTTGCCATCCAAAGAAGGCGTGACGAACCTCATGAAGAACCTGAACGACGTGCTGACCACCATGTCTACTGGAGCCATTCCAGCAGATGGGGAGGTATGTAACACTTTAAATTTTTGTCTCTTGCTTGAGCAGTTAAGTGTGATTCAGTCTTTCCAGGGACTTCTTTGTGGTGAAAGGTCTGAAGTGGCGTGCATCATCGTTCTTTATATAGCTGATGACTAGTTTTTCAAGTCTACATGTATGCCCTTCTTAGAGTACCTCAACCCGGGTCGTCGACCTATCCAGTACAGATAGATTTCTGAAGAAGAAAGGACTTTGGGGGATCTGGCGTGCGTAGTGCGTGACATCCCGTCCTCTTGCCAGAAAAGCAAATTTGTCATGTGACCTTTTTTGCGCAACTCGTGGCAAAGATCCCACTGAGGTTTAGTCAAAGTCATGCGGGTAAACTTCTCTTCCGGCATGTCCGGGCGGATGGGTGCTCCTCCCCGTTCAGGATTAGGTTAATTTGTAGTACCGGACGAAGAAGGTGGGGCTTACACTCAACTACTGCGAATGTTAGTAACTTAACTCGCTGCATTTACAAACACTTGCATTCTGGACTTCACCGAGTTGATTTTGATAAAAGAGACAACCACGAGAGTTCATAATAAGTCACTTGTAAAGTTGCGGTCAAGTTGATTGACTGGCCAGGAATTTCACTTGTTGGCAAGTTTCACTTTTTGTTTCAATACTTCATTGTCCTGGCGATTGGCCGTGGCGATCGATTATGTATCCAACAACGGCCAAACTTGTAAAGGTTGAAGCGGTAAGTTGATACTCTACTCTGCCTACGTGTATGATCAAAATGTATTTCCATACATTTTGTGAACTTCACAAAGTTATACAGCTCTTGGTTGTCTAATATTAAAAGGAAATCATAAATAATATATTGATAATTCTTGCACGTTTTCTTTCTCTCTATACAACCTGTATCAGGATTACACTGCGTCTGAGGACATCATGGACATCTCAAGTTATGCTCCCCCTATGACAACTTCTCACCCGATGAGCACACACCAAAGTGCTATCCCTACCTCTGTCATCACCCCAACCTCTCTGACTAGTGGCTGGTTGCCCCATCTCAACAACAACATCCACGGCGGTAACTTTGTGCCACCCTCGGTGTCTTCAAGTTCCCATGGTTCTATAACCGCCAGACACCAAGGATCACGAGCCGTCCACCATGGTCGAGTCAGATCTAGTGACCTGGAACTATTGAGGATGTCCCCATCAACATCAAGAAGGAGAATCAGAGATGAAGATGTAAGTACTTAAAAAACATTCCAAACAGAATCTAAAATGTAAATTCCTGTATTACAATCCATTTTATCGTGATTATTAATACATTAGTAATCCTCATGTTTGATACAGACTTTCAAATGCATAGAAAATATAATAAAAATCTGGCTCGAATGTAAGTTCATAGCAGATTTGTATCTTCGATCTTGGTCGGCTTCCTACTCGGTTATAGGGGATTTCATTCTTTGGGGAGTCATAACCCATGGTCAACCTTTGTAACAAGTGGAATCGCTCAAATCACTTCCCGGAAGTTGGCGAAAGTTTTCCCTGAATCTCATTATAGACCGGAAGTTGCTTTTGTTCAGGGGCACTTAACAAGAAACGAATTAGGAAGCAGCTTTTTGCGTGGGTGTTAGTTCGTTGGATCTGAAGCTGACCCGGAATTCATAACTGACACATTTTGGACGTTATCCCTTGCCTGAGGTCCTGCCGATTTTGCAATGTCATTCACCGCTTTTTCCAGGAAACACTAATTTGTTTGACGGTTCTCCTTTAGCCTCATTGAATGCAAATGATATTTCTCACTGCGTTTTAATTCTCCCAAAGACTGTATGGGAAACCCTTTTCAAGAAATCTACTTTTGAAAGGAAGTTGCAAGTTTTCTGAAAGATGAATCATCGTTACATGATGGGTAACTTTGTTGAGGATTATGAGCCCATTGCCTCACCTTAAACAGTTCGGGATGGGGAGGATTTAGTTTGTCAAGAACATGTAATGACTTTAATTTGTGCGGAAATGCTCTATCAAGCTGGTGACTACTTGGCTGGAATGGAAATCCATCCAGTCACGAACTTGGAAGAGACATCACGGTTCAATCATTTCTTTTGGGAAACGAGAGACAGCACAGCCTGAATACGTGCGATAGCTTTGTACTAAAATGCTTGTTTTGTTGATGTCCAGTGCCAGAACAGAAGGGCCTTGTGAAAGATTTGACCTATCTTGGTCAACAGCCCTAAGCTGCTTACCCAGCTCTATTGTTAGATTATGCAGATTGGTGTTTGCACTATGTGGTGAGGGTCGATCAGATCGAAGCATATGGAAAAAAAACGCCTTCACCCTTTATTGCCTCTACTCCGGCATTGTTTGAACCAGGGCCATTAGTAAAAGCTTGTGCTGGTAGGGCTCATGAAACTCACATTCGCACGTCGACAAGGTTTGGAAGAAAACAACATAACACCCGGTTGCCTTCGAGCATCCACGACTGAATTGTCGCAGTTGTGTATACATTTTCTAAATTACTGCAGTCATTATGCTGCGTAGCACAAGGTCATTCGTCCAAGGCTCGCTTGTTATGCATGGGTATTATTGACACAGCAGTCGCGTGTGCATGCACATGTACAGTACATGTACATTGTACATGTACAGCATCTATCCGCATAATACAACAGTACAGTAAAAGCATGACCTACAGTACAATGCGTGCTGTTGCATACCAGAGCAACCTGGACATGCGGCCATCTTGGATTTCTTCATGTACATGTATAATAACCGTGATGATGCACTGTAATAATAGTGGGTCAAGGAGAACCCGTTTATTACACCTCCGAATATATTGGTGTTCACAGGTACATTGTAGGCTTTTGAGACACCATAATCTGCTAAGTAGGTGGGGCTATTAAAAGGAAATATACAAAATAATAATACAAAAAATGGCCTAAAACTTTAATTTGTAAGAGCTTGTGTTCGAAACCCCAAATGACCTGTAATTAAGCTGTTCAAACATGAATTTTCAAAATAAAATGGATTGTGATACCTAATATCTTGGCTGCAAACCAGAGCCCTTTTTTTGTATTGTGCCTTGCCCGATTTCCTTGACTGCATAGTTAATGAACCTCTTTCCTTTGTCCTGTTTTCTGCTCTTAGTTGCCGCCCGAGGAAAGAGACAAAAGGCGCATCCGTCGTGAAAGGAACAAGCTTGCAGCCGCCAAGTGTCGCCAGAGGCGGGTAGACCACACCAACTCTCTCATTGGGGTAAGCTGAATTTACCACCAGAATCTTTCAACTGTAAATGTACTTGTACATGTAAGGGCCTATACGTCAAATTTATTGGATATAATTGCTGTATCGAAAAGTGAAATCATCCCATGTTTCAGTGTTCTTAATGCCTAATACATAGTTTACATAAAATCTGTTTAAGACAGGTAAAGAAAAATTAGTGAATGGAAACAAGTCAAATGGTTTTAATTGATTTAAACAGCAGAGTTTGCCGAAAACGTTCGGCTACCTGCATTTGGCCTTTTCTGTTTTTTTATTTATCAGCACTTAAAGTGCTGATAAAGTTAAAGTTAAATGAAATGTAACTTTCGAGTGAGATTCTAAAAGGACAGAAATTTGGAATGTTTGTTATTCAAAAAACTACCAGTTTTATTTGTCTTCAGAAACAAAAAGATTCATAATCAACCAGCAGTGTTTATGATGTACAATGTGTATTCTTTATTTTTCTCTCTTTCTTTTTTTACAGGAAACTGAAGATTGGGAAGAGAAGAATGCCACCCTGGAGCAGGAAATTTCTAAGCTGCATCAGCAAAAGGAACAACTTGAGTTTATTCTGGAGGCACACAAGGCAATGTGTCGGCAGAACAAAGCCAACAAACAGACAGCCACAACCTCCACGGCTACCTCCACCAGCAGCCTGGAAACCCCCACTACTGAAGTGGTCACGCCCACCAGCGTCTTCAATTACACCGTGGGAACTACGGTTCACAATGGCGACGCGAGCGACAACATCTTGAGTTGTGGAAGGGAGGCTATCAAATCAGAGAGCAGCAACAGTGATATGTCCAGTCCGGAAGCCAATAGGACACTGATTCAGCTTTGAAACGGAGACTGGGAGAAGAACAAAAAACTGATGATGTAAAAAGTGTCCAGCTGGCAACAAGAGATGCTCTGTCTGTCTGCTAACAACCCTATCCAAGATCCTATCCAACTCTAGAACCTTTAACAGCCACTATGTATTCAATTAAACTGACTTCAAAAAATATTGCCTGCTCAAACAAGAATGTTTTCCAACATTTACGTAAACCTAATGTTATTCATAACCTGATTATTAATAATGATTATGGATGAAATGAAGTACACCGAGAAATTTTGTCATTCACCCGCCATCTTGAGTTTTCCCTACTAACGAGTAATGAGGCAACCGTAGCCTACTGCCTGCTATTTGCCATTCTGACCTAAGGGAATAAAAACGTTTACAGATGGCGGCCTTGCAAAATTTATCAGGTGTTTTCAAACTTGCGGTTTGAAGATATTCAGTAGTGTATCATGTATTTGAATGAGATCAGAGCTAAATTAAAGTCTCGGCAATCCATTCCAACATCCTACGTTATTAATGTAGTCTCTTAAGCGACTGAAACAATGTGTAATAATTTAAAGTGCAATAATATTTTTTGCTGATATCACTGATATCAATAGCATATCTGAAGCTGTTCTCTTCAATAGCATAGTAAAAAAATGATAAATGCCAATCATGCCAATTATTAAATTATGATTTTTAATATAATTATTTCAAATAAGGGCCTTTCATTAAATAATTCGTCGATAATTTAAGATTGCATGAATTCGCAAAAGGTTTGTACCCAATGTTCATTTCAGCTTTGTGTGATGTGACCACTTTTGAGTTGTGTTAAGATGAATCTCCTAAAGGTGTCTAGCATCTCGGCTTCCGCCCACGCGTTACAGTGTAGACTTAGAATGAGGGTCTTGCTCGGAAAGAGTGAGTCAGTGTTTTATTACTCATCGCAAAAAGTTTGAGAGTAGTTCCCGTTTTTCTTATCCCTGGGAATAGTGATCTAATACCTCGCTAATTAATTTGACCTTTCAGAGATTTTGTTGAGTCATCGATGGATGGCTGTTCATTTACCGATGGGCGAGTCTACATTTTCTCATAACCTTTTGGAAGAGTATGAGTCAAATTTTTGTATTTGTATAAAACGCAGCATTACAAGTTGCATGAGATTTTTTTTCTTTCAAAGAAAAAGATATGCATTGATGCCATCATTTCGAAAGTGTTTTAGCGAATGATGATCAGAGAAGACTGAAATAAACACCAGCGTATTTGCCTTATTTTTTAAATGTAAATCGTCGGTGGCTTGTCGAAAGCCGGAGGGTGAAGTACGTGTTATCGTATAATGTAGGCCCATTGCCGTTTAAGGTAATTTTTTCCATTTTTGTGAAAAATTAAACATTTCAATTTTCTAAACATTTGAACACTGCCAACGTAATTGTTTTCATGTAACGTACATGTACATGTTAACGTTTGCTATAATTGTTATGTTTGCGTCACGTTATAGCTTTACAGTTTTTGTTTATAAATTATTTTTACACATAACGACAAACGAAACAGCATCTGTGCGATGGAACACTGCTCCGTCAAAGATATTTATTTATTTATTTTGTAAATAACCATATAGGTGAAACATGCACAGTAACATTCGATACAGTAACCATGGATTGTGTTGGAATTCTTTGCATTGGTATCAGTTTCATTTGTCTTTTGAACGTAGTGTCTGGTAGCCTCGATTGTTGTGTGAACTGTGACGTGGTTAATACATTGGAATTTCCGGAAATAAAATGTGTACAACTGTTGACAAGTAGCGCGTGATCATAATGTCTTTGTGTAAATGTGTCAATTGAGACTATGCGTCGTTTGAGTTTTTTACCCTTTTTATCACTGCCAACAAATTATGTTTTAAAATTACTGACATCGAACATGTACAAATGTATAGTTTGTGGCATGTTAGAAAAAGTTATTGTGCTTTGTGTATTGTAGCAGTTATTTCATTAACGCACCAAGATTTCAAAGAGTGTGTGCCAAGAGGCATAAGGTCTCACGAATTTTAGTGGACACAATTGTGTAATAAAACACTGCCAATCTGTGCAGAGATTGTGTGTATCCATGCAATGTGTAACTGAATTCTTCATTGTTCATTGTTTGATGCCTTCATCCAGATTTCTTAGAATCATAGGATAACTGGCTTACTGGTCACGTACGCTAGAATATGATACGCGCAATTCTTTCTCCATGATGTAAGTTATAAGTTTAATTGTGAAACTGAACAATATTTATTATAAAACCTCACGTGACAAACTACCTTACATACCCAAAGTTATTGCAATTGTCATGCCCAAAAGTAGTGAATGACGTAGTTTTTCTCACAGCAAAAGTGATTATTTTGGTTTGTGAAATTGTGATTAACCCTGGTGGCATTTATGTGGCTTTTTCATGGACAATACTGGAACAAGAGAACTGTTTAACTTGTATAAAAGCATGGAAGATTTTCAAACTGACCTAATCAGTAATACTAAGATCATTATTTTGGTTAAAATAATTTGAAAGCTTTAACCGCTACCGGAGGTTTGAAACTACATGTGCAGTTATGGCTTCTGCGTTTTTATACGTTTATTCATTATTTGTTCTTCTCAAGTGATACACCTTTGTGGAATGCACAGAAATCATTGGAGGTTGATTTTTATTTTCTTTTTAGATTTTCTTTTCCCACGACGTCCCATTTTAAACAATAACGCAATTGGGCGGATCTCCGCTGCCGAGTATTCCATGTCAAGAGTAATAAGTGAGTGGGTGTTTCTCATGGAGTGAAATCAACTGTGCGATGGCGGCCCACAGCGTGACGCGAACCCACTTGATCTCCCAATCCGCTGGGCGTGCGCGGGTGGCTGCGGATGTACAGTATGTGTGGCCTTGGCATGAACTGCACCTGTCCCCCACTTCCCGGGAAAGCGGGGGCGATAATTTTATCAGCGAACAATGGGTGCTCATTATGCCCATGTCCTAATTTGCAATGAATTGCCAAGATCTTTGTTAGTTGTAACTTTTCTTACCATGGGGTGTTGCCGCAAACAAAGAACTCTGGAATCTAGATAGTTCCCCCATCTTTTTGCAAAGCAGGTGTAGCCTAAAAAATTTTTAAAAAGTAAAAAAAAAACTAAAATAAGCTGAAAAGCTGAATTATCACACTTCTGTCAGCAAAGCCACAAATTTGTGAAAGTACAAGAGAAGATTCCCATGAAGATCGCTACTTAAATGTATCCAGAAAGTTAGTTATTGTTATCTTACGTTAAAAATGTTTGACACACTGTCAAGAAGTGAGATGAGCAAGACCGCGCTGCCCAGCTAAAAGCACTCCTTTGTTAATATATGTCTAAAGAACTTCAAAAAATACAAAAGTACTGTAAAATGAAATATTTAATATTATATATTGACACGATTAATAAAGACAAAATAAGTACAAAATGTTTACCAGGAAAATGCAACTAAAGTAAAGTTATTGTTGTAACATATAGTAAAAAATGATTAAATCAGAATATTATGTTACAAACTATTGAATCGATGGCCTCCGAGTTCTGACACAGATAGAAGGAAAACAAACTTCAGAATTTAACAAAATATGAACAAATACTACGATGACCAAAATATAAAAGTCAAATTTCTTCCCCTACACACCTAAAACTCAGTGCGGTGAACGACAATCCCCAGAGTTAGGACCCCCTGGAAACTCAAGTAAAACAGCCAAAAACATAAATGAGCTTTTATACACATTAAAGGCATTTGGATGACATGCTCTTGCAGATTATTCCAGTCATCATTTCGCTGAAAAAGTACTTTTATCAGTCAGTAAGTGAGCAATCTATGATGATTTCGCCCAATTCGTGATGCTGTAAAATTTAAATTATATCTAATTTAAAGAACCATTTCTATCAGAAGTTCACGCTCTGCGTGATTGGTCGTTTCTGCATGAAATCTGAAACTTTGCTTCTGTGCTTTTGTTTGGAAACAATCTTTCACAACAGTAAACAGAAAATGCGATTGGCTAATGGCGGAATTCGGAAAATCATGCACTAAGATCGATCAGTCGCGCAAATGTATGTCGAGCGATCGCGCAGATCGAGCGTTCGCACTCAACAAGGAGACTCATGAAAGTGGTCCAAAAATGGTGCATTGAACGCGAGTTTTTAGGCTGCATGTCGACCAAATGGAATTCCATATCTGCCGTCGTGCGTCGCCCGTCGTCCGTCGCCTTTTGCTTTTTGTTGTGTCCCAATTCTGCCATTTACCAGTTCCAAACATGCCATTTTCCGTCGCCCGTCGTGCGTCGTCCGTCGCCCGTCGTGCGTCGCCCATGAAATGGGTTGCATAGGACCTGCAAAAGCCGGGGTTTAACAAAATTTACAATGTCATGATTCCATTCACTTCTAAGGATCTTTTCCCAATAAGGCAAGTACAAGTCCCACCTGCAATACTAGTCCCATAATTAATGCCAATAATGCTAGACTACCCCCTGCCCCTTGATAAGAAAATGTCACCTTTCTGAGAATTCAACCAAGTGTGTTTTTTGGGAAAAGCATTTTCATCAAAAATGTTCAGGCCAACTTAGGGCCTATCCACAGTCTCATTCTAATTTGCATACTGTAAAAATGTGCCGACTTGTTTTCATCCAATTCTAGAAAGAAATCTGCCAACCGATACAGATATTTCATTTTGTCCTCTCAATTTCACCTTGAAATACAGAAATACTAGACAGTGCTGTGGATAACAAACTGTTTATTAAATGTATTGTTAGGGGGCAATTACCACTTGGTTTAAGTTTCAGAAAATGTGACGTGTTGGTTTTTTGGGGTGTGTATGCCAGGGTGGATAGACCAATGAGAACAGGTTGTTTAGCACATCAGCATTATGGGGCTAACAAGTAACGTTACAGTTTAAAAGACTGCTGTGAGCCTACCTGCAACTCAAGTCATGTCTAATTTGGAGTATACGGCAGATTTCATCATAGTTATACCCGCCCTCAAAATAATGTTGAATCGGTTCGTCTCTTATGAAAACTATTAAGGCATCAAACCTTGTAAAAAATTTATTATTTACATTCCATTCTGTGGGATATCGTGCAGGGACAGACAGAAATATTACATTGGTCTAGGCCATAGACCTAAAGTCAGGCCGTTAAATTAACGAGTAAAGTTATACGTCTACAGTAACTAAGTTATCGAGAAAAACAATCTACCCTAAAAAAAAAGTCTATTTTGTTAATTTATTTATGTAACAAAAATTGCATTATTTCATATACACGTTACTTAACCTATGTCAGGATATTATTTCTTCTTTCAAGTGGAGTTCGGCGGAACTGCAAAAACGAATACATCTTCTAGTTCTATTGCTAAAATGAGAGTCAGACATGGTGGATCGATCGAACAAAGACATGTACATGTGAAACGATCAAGGGTCAAAGTTAAAAATACCACTGCACAATCGTAAAAAAAAACACGGGCGGCGGGCGACACACGACGGGCGACACACGACGGGCGACGCACGACGGGCGACGCACGACGGGCGACGGCAGATATAGAATTCCATAGGACCATGATGGAAAAAGCTCTGTTGAAAAGGAACTCTTTTTTTGTCTGTCTGCAAAAACATTCATGACCCAGTTAATGTTTGAGTCACCAATTCCATAAGTGATATTTTTCACATAAAAGTTCATCACGTGGGCCTGCTAGCAAAATTTAAGATTTTGAAGACGTTTTGTCCAGCAGTGTCCAAGGTGCTGTTCCATGCAGTCGTGAATGGCATCAATTATTTCACAACCGTGCATGCTGAGTTCCGTCCCCCCCCCCGAAAAAAAGCATTGTGGGATAGGTTGCTAATACGTTTCTTAGTACAACTCTTGAAAGGCTTTTACTCATGCAAGTGACATATGATGAGCCTTCCCTCCTTCACCAAGATGTACCATCCTCTAGGAGGCACTAATCTATATCGTTTTGTGACCAGGGTACACCGGGGGAACATTTTCGGGGGTGGGTGTTATACGATCAAAACCCCAGTAATCCCCACTCCACAACCCTCACATGTGAGGGTCGTACTCCTGATCGAAAATTGGGGGGGGGGGCTCACTGTCCCCGTGCCCCTCCCCCTGCTTCCCTTGCTAGTGTGAAGGGAGGTGTAAGGTATTCCACTTCGTTCTCAAACGTTATGGGAGAAATCTACTATGCATGATCGTGGCTCCCATATACATCGATGTCTCGAGAGATTTCCAGAAGCCAAGCTTTGGTTTGAAGCCACCGCAGCGTACAGTGTCCCCCTCCTTTCCAAATAGTTTCTAAAAGTGTTTCGCATCACAGTATCACACGGCACCTCGAAATCTTGGATTTTTCAAAAGATACAGGGTCAAGATTTTTGAAATGATTTTGTCCCTACGCCTGATGATTCGCTAACCTGAACCGCCGCAAGAGGACGCTACCACGAACTAACGTCAAGGGTTAAGTGCAGTTCCCTCGTCGCCGAGCGCCCGAGCAGCTGGGTTATGGGAAGGGCTGACGGCCTTGCACAGATTTAAGAGAATTATGGGGTCACAGATAACGACGCGCAGAGCACTGTGGGTATATTTTTCCTCCTCATTGCTAAAAAAAAAAATTCTCACTACACTTTATTACTTCACCCAAAATTGATCAAGATAACCAATGATTTGAAATATATCGCCAAAGACACGTGATCGGAAAGAATGAATCAGCAAAGAATAAGAAAAGGAAATCTGACAGTGGTACTCTCTACTCATTTAAAAAGAATGGCAATCATTCTGCTAAATAAAAATCATAAAAACTGGAAAGACCAGTCCCCCCTCTTTAAATAGACCCATCCTCCGTTTTAGAAAAACCAACGCTTCCGCTTATCATGGCATGTTTGTCCTTTAATTTAAAAAGGTACAAAAAACGTAAATAGTTAATTTAAGACGAAAATGTGAAGTAATTGAAAAAATAAACTGACGCTGAGCCAACAGAAGACAAATAAAGAAAGAAACAGGTATTTATCAAACCAACCGCAAACATTCACTAATAATGTGGTCAATAAGAGTGTAATGTATACAGAAATTTACTGCTGTAGTGCAGTGCGCCCTCTAATCGGTGATCAATGGTGAGTTCGGGCACCTGCGCCTGTTCTTGACGGGTTTCTTGTTCTCATCACGCTCGCACAGGAGGAACACGACCTAAGAACAGTTCTTGGAACAGGATCACAAACCACCTCGTCGGATTTTTACAGAAACAGAGAAAGCTCGTGAGATTTTGATTTTTTAACAGCCGCAAAAATAGCAACATGGCTTACAAAGCTGGAGACAATGGGAAGTTCCGCAAAATTAGCATCAAAAATATTCTACAGCACAGATATGATTGTTCCTTTTTAAAAAGAAAAGAATTCATCCCACTTGTAGAGCCAAAAAGTTGACCCATATGCCAAGGTTCCAGAACCCTTGGATAGGAAAACTAACTCGCAAAGATTTTAGAATTTGTATCTTTTTTTCGTGCAGTTATTTCTCGAAAAATCCGACTCGGAAATAGGGCTTTGGAAAATATTTACCAGTAAATCAATTTATAGAAACTGAAAAGTTACCTTACCTGAACGATAAACACCCTGCCAAAAAGTAACCTATCACTTCCGAAAATCTAAAATACACGAAGAACAGACCAATGCGGCGGTACGGTCTCGTACTCAGATGAATATATTACGGTTTGAAATTTTATGGAAGTGTAAAAGCCGAAGGTAAAAGCCGAAATAGAAACAGATCAAAATAATTTATACACTTAATTAAATCATAAGGTAATAAACTTAAAGCGATAATCTCTTGAAAGATTCTAATATTTTATCTAACCTTTGCTGACAAGAACTGCGTCATATCAACTCAACGGAATCCGGAAGCCATCTACTGTAGGTAAGTAAATCTATGCAACATTGTACAATCTTGTTTTCACGAAAGCACAGGGAGGTGAAAACAAACGTGCGTGAACAAGGAGATCCAGGTTCATCTATCTCCACGTGACTTTTCTTCGAAATAAGAAGCTAACGTTGTGAACTGAAGATTGATTTCTCGAATCTCTGGCCCAAACTTTCTTAGTTGCAATTTTTTTTAAGTGTTAGCAAAGTGTAAATTACAGCTTGTTAATTGTGAATATACAGGAACTCGTTTTATTGAAGACACTGGGACGACCTGAAGAGGTTCTGCAGTTTATAAATGGCGTCCTCAACGGCCAAACTTTGGAAAGATGTTCGGCAACACCCCCATGTCTATTGTAATATTTGGTTAAATACCTCAAACTTAACCTTGGATATCATAAGTATTTTTTAATCAGTAAAACAACAGACGTATAGCATAGTTTGTCATGCAATTCGGAGGGTGTCACTCTCTGGTGTTAATGCTACGTCCTCTCGTGTTGTCAGAGGAGTTCGTTTTACGTGAAAATGAAAATAAGGCTCATCTGTAGTAGGACGATGCAGAAACCAATATGCACCTTTACATTCACTACAGCCTGTATATAAGAAGAAAACTGCCTTATTCAGTACAGAAAAATAACAGAGGAAATTTTGAAGTGTTAGGTTGGAGAAATGCTACTACCAGCAAGCCAGTCTAAAAACTCTCGATTGTGCCGTTTCCTCGCTGAACCGAGGCTGGTAGTATCAATAAAAGTTGTTGTGAGATATATAATAAGGAACTATTTTGTCTGCGGAAGCTTACTACACTGTTGAGCTTCCCGCGCTGATACTCACGTTTGGGCAACAAACCAACAGTGGCACTGGACTTTACTCTCCAAACTTTCCATCTTTTTGTCCATCACACTTCAATATTGACCACACATGTTGACATGTCTAAGTGACCTCTTCCACTTTTGGAAGTGTATATGGAAGTGTATATAAAAAGAATTTTGTCGACGTGCGTGCGTGATGTAATGTAGGGACAGGTTGTCAGTCTAACAGTATTGTGACTATTCTGGATTATGATGTCACGCTATTTTTAGGATTATAAAAACGTAGTTGACTCACAGGCGCGTAGGCTCGAGGGAGGCCATAGCAGAGCCGTAACTCAACAAAATTGAACGTGATTCATGCTGTTTGTCTTCTCAATTTCACGGCTTCCCAGATGTGTCATCACGAAGACATAATACACGAGACAAAGGAAGACTGCATCACGACAGACTCATTTGCGTCCTCCATGTTCATGAGCCATTACATGCAATGCTATTGCATGTCTCGATTTCTTGTCTGGCAGTGTCTGTCCATTATCTGTGACAGCGCCCTCCACGAGGAACTTTGGATTATTTTTCAGAACAAATCTGTATCCGTAGGGAAACAGTTGCGCCTATTCTGCTGCAGCTGTAACTGAAAGAAATTAAAACAAACTCAGTAAAATGTTTCCCTCATGATCCAATTAATTTTAATGTGTTGCTTGATGTTACCGAAAGCAACGTACTGTCTGGGGTTAAAGTTAGTATTTCTGTGGACCCCAGTTGTTCTGTATGAACTGCAGCAGATGATTCATTATCATGAATTCTGATCAATCACACCAGCAAAGAAAAACAAGACTTCAATTATTTGCCACGTTTGCAAAATTGACGCCCAAGCATTACGATGACGTCATTGCCTATATTTAACTCAGTCGCGCGGGTTACGAGACGTTGCTATTGCGCGCGCATGGCGAAATGCGGGATGTACAGGGGCACAGGATGATGGGGTTTTTGGTCAGGGAGATATAGACTGGCCTGGACATGTTTGTGATTTGAACAGGTTTGGGATTTCCCATATTATGCGTTCTTTTCTGATTGGTCAGTTGGTTTCATGGTACTGCTCAAAACAATAACCGATTATCTTGCATCTACTGCGTACATGGATTTGCAATAAACAAGGCGTAGCAAGCATTCACCCTCAGTGGATTCAGAAGTGGAAAAACTTCCTGTGTATAAATTTAAAGAGAGAAAGTTGGAGCAAGGCGCTGTGGCAGTTTGTTTACAAACACAGGTTGACTAAGCGACTATTGTGTGATGTATGTTGGAACTTTAAGGACTTGGACCAGCACATAGTGAGCTAAAGCTGAGAACGTTTGAAAACAGCAAATATTTTCCAGGAGGTAAGTAAACATTTTGATGTATTACTTTATATGTTAATACATTGCCGCTATTCAGAGATGAAAAGCTCGCCTCGAGTCCGACTTAAGTTACAGTTTTTGGTGGCTCGTCCTAACGGCCGGGTAATTGACTCAACTCAATTCGAGTCACTAAGGGCAGAAAGAAATGACTTCACTTAAGTTGAAGGCTGTCAAATATTTTGAGTCCCCAAACTACTTGCGGTACAAAGTTTTGTCGGCGTGCTTTGCGTCATCCCCAGCTTCATGGGACTTTATAGTACCACTGAGTTAAGGGGCACTTCACAAGAAGAAAAGTATTTTTAGCGATGAGGGAGGGGTAGCTGCTCGCCAGGGGGTGCCCCTGGCGACAGGCTTGGTTATCCCGCGGGGGGGGGGGAGGACTATGCCCTTTGTCACGGACTCGCCGCATCCCCCTTGTTGTTTAATACTAATACCGCAAGCAACTTACCATCCCGGAACCAATCTGAAAAGTTTTGTGTGTTTGGTGGGACGGTGTTTTGTGATGTAAGCGGAGAAATACTTCAAGAGCCGATGCAAAACTAAAAATAAGACCGTGTCTCACCTGTTAACTGAGGAAATCGGTATTCGCTTAACTGTGACTGAATGAATTCGAATGAATTCAGTTCAATTACACTCCACTCGGCCTTTGGACGCAATAACGACTCGACTCGACTTGACCCGAGCGCAGAATTCCGAGGATCGTTGCAGCACTGGCAAAATTAGTCGTTAAATTTTATTTTTGATTGTCGTACGTGACATCAACTTTGAATAAAATTTTTGCTCAAACGCTATTGGCAAAATCTTCATTGTGTTTTTTTTTATCAAAGTGAAGGATCTTTCGGTGGTGAAATTGTTCTCTGTTAAAATAATTTGATACGTTTCCCACCCCTGTCTTTGAAATGGATATTTTTGTCCTATACAGTATCACGAATGTTTTTGTAACAATATTCCATAATATTGTAGGAGAGTCATATATCACTGCTTATAAGTTAACAATCTCCGTTTATTCCGATATACATTTTCAATGGTAGATAGGTGGTAATGTGATGTCTGATGGATTGGAATAGCCGTAGATCTGTTGGTTTCGTTTTGTTTGATCGGCCGTTTTATGCCCCGTTTGTTATTTTATGTATTGGTGTCTTTGCTCTTTTGCTATCTTTAAAAATTGACATCGACTGCTAAATCTTTCTACAGATAATTATGCTCTGCTGCTGAAAGAAGTGGGCGAAAGGTTACAAACCACGCGACATCAACAGGAGTGGGATGGGGAGGGTTGCTAACTGTCCCTGCTTTGTGACACCCAAGAAGTAAAAAGACAAAAATGGAAAAGTAGTAAAAATAACTAGAATAAGTACACCAACACCACTGTGAACAAAGTATGTCATGTGGTTTCATCATCGTTTCCACTTGTCCGCAAAAATAAGACATAAAAAAATTCTCTGGCCTGACTCTCCCCTCCGGAAAATTCATGGATCCGCTCCTAAGTCAAGGTTTCACTTACGTTTAGACCAATTGACCTACAATCTCAAACATCAAGTCCGATTTGGGGTATCTTTTGATAAATTTAGGAAATCCAAATTGTCAATGTTCAGCATCATACGTGCATAGATCAGCCTAATAAATTTACTTTGCTCGCCAGATTAATTCGAACAACAAAGTTAATTGTAATTTTCCACATGTTGGGGTTGGACTCTAGATTAATTTGAAGCTAACTAGGTAGCTTGAGTTACTGGAGCTTTTTACCGTAAGTGGTTTGACGCTCCACCGTCATTTCCAAATTAAGAAAAAATTCCATGAAACTTTCATGGCAATTTGAAATCTTGATTAAACAAATGTAACTTGACTTTTTCAGCATCACAATCCTTCCAAATACACATGTATAAAGGAAGCTTAGTGATGACCTCAGGCCTATGTTACAGAGAACTTTGATTTCATTGACACGTCGGCCACGCAGTGCCGGTGACATAGCAATGGAAATTTCCAGAAAACATTTGGGCTGATGTAACTTCATGCCTTGTTAGCGCAAATAAAGCATAGAAAAGACGGCGTTTTAAAAACTAGGAAAAAGACGTTTTTAACAAATAGTGTCAAATTTCACTCATTGACTAACAATGATTATATAGTCAAGGTAAAAATTTAACATTTAGTTACATTTGTGTTTGTAAACGCTTAAAACACGAACTACATGTTTAAATTAAATTTTTCCTATTTACAATGATGTAACAGGCAAGCGATATTGCTGCATCACGCGCTTCCACTATAAAGACGGCCGGTGTCCGACAGTACGTTTGCAGTCATCAGTCACGTTCACTGTTGGTGGTTGTTCAGTACGTAGATGTATTCGTAGTGTAGTACGTGTTCGTACTATTTTTATTTCAATGAATACTCGTAATCGCATTATGACTCTACCACCCAACTGTAACTCTTCGATGCGTTACCGGGTAAGTGCATGTGATCATGGCTCCGACAGTTTGTGAGATTGATTTGTTTGTAATGGCGACGGGCAGGCTTATTCAGTTTTTATATTGTCTTGAACAATTCTTTTCAATGTGAAAGCGCAGTCCCCGTGCAGCCGGGATGTGGTTAGGCTATTGCCAAACCCGAGAGTATAATGTTGTCATAATGCACGAGTGACATTAAACATATGATAGGTGAGATACCGTAGGTCAAGGGGTTAGACTCGTCAGTCTCACCTGATCGCTAACTCATTTTTTATTCGTCTAATTTACTTACCATTTATACTGAATCACATTGCTTGGGAGGGAATTTGTTGTCGCTAAGGATGGCACATTTTCTTTTTCTCCAACTGTATCAAAACTTTTTTAAAAATGCAAATTACTGTTATGTATAGGTACAAAAATACTACGCGTCTCAAATCGGCTGGCGTTGTAGTACATCAGTGCCTATGTCGTTTTTGTTCGTTTATTTTGGTGTTCTTGTCTTTTTTTCATTTGGTTTTCTTTGAAGATTAGGACAATGAGAAATCAATCTCATTTTTTTTCTTTATGACTACGTCAGGGAATCCTTTAAAAACTAAAGAAAAATTAATAATTAAAAAAGTATAGCAGAAAATTATCGCAGTGCAGTCCGATATACTCGGCTGTAAAGTTTGACAAAATATTAAGTAGTGTTTGAAATAAATCCTTTTCGTGAAACAGAAAACTTTGGCGTTAACAAGAAGACGTACACGTGATGCTCATCGGCGATACATCTGGTGGCGAATCCACAATACAAAGAGACACAACCCCACCCATGGCAACAAGAATGGGCGTGGTTGGTTCTCCGACATCCTCAAGTGAATCTGGGAGCGGGGATTGCAGTATCTTTGAGCCGGATTTTGACCTGTCCCCACTCATCAAGGAAGAACTGCGGACTACGATTCGTAACAGACGGATCAACAGTGGTAAATCTGACGACTTGTCGTACGACGATCCGCCCAAACCTCAGTACAAGGTACGCTGAAGCATTTGGCAATACTTGAAAATTGAAACTGCAAGGACTACTTTACTAGGGTATTTTGTTTAAATTGTCTGTTTCTTATCAAGTTCAAGACATGCGTGTCTGGTTGTATGCTTTTAATGGTATCTGTCATTTCTTCATTTGTATTTTTGCTATTACTGGATTACTTCAGTACTTAAAATTTTATTTGTTTGTCAGCTTATCATTGTTCCGTATCACATCCGCGTTCTTTCTGTTTTTCGTTTTTGTTTGTTTGTTTGGGTTTTTTTCTCTCTTTTTCCGCCTCGCTCTCATGCTTGTTTCTTTGGGGAAATTTAACTGTCCGGTACAGTTTTACGAAAAGACCCAGAGAGTTCTTCTCTGAGAACTGCATGGAATAAAAGAAACTCATAAAAGCGACAGGTCGGTGTTTGAGCACAAATGAGAACTCTGCACTGTGATCCTTGTAATAAGCAGAATGCCATGGGTTTAATTCCTCAGAATGACTTCATCAACCGACAGTCTTGGGTTAATTCGAATCCCATCGGAACGACTTCAGCTCAAGCTTTTGTGTGCCCTTACGGGGTAGGCTGAACGTGAAACCATAATTTCGTTGATTTCTCCTGTTTAAGCTCACGAAGGAAGAAGAGGAAAAACGTCAAGTACGACGAGACAGGAACAGGATCGCAGCGGCCAAGTGCCGGCAGAAAAGAAAACAAGAAACAATGGAGCTATCTCTGGTAATTATCGTCTGGCGTTTTCATGTCAAATAATTTGATTCCCTTGAAAGGTTTTTGCTCTCTTTTTGATATGAGGGTGTATGTTTCTTGCACCGATGACGCCAGTTAACACCTTCAATTGATTCAATAGATGCCTATAAACTTGCAGCCCTAAATTTGGATCTGTAAATGCTGTAGAGTACTGAAGTGTGACGTCATTTCTAAAGAATCAGGAATTGCATTGCAAACAAAATATGGAGTACGTTGGTTCACGGGCTGGTTCACGCACACACGTAGCCTACTCGTATTCACTTTAGTACCGGTACCGTTTTTCGATGGGTGCGTTTTCCGGAGGAGAAAATAATTTGTTTACAAGATTTTTGTAAGTCAGCCTATTTGGTTTTTACAATCTATATCTTCAAAACCAGAGGGCATTTAAGAAAACAATTCTGTTTCCCTCAGACGGAAAATAATTTTGTTGAAATTGGCATGCTTATACGCACATTTCAATATCGGTCAAATTTGCGTTGGGAAATAAGATACAATGGCGTATCCATAAAGAGAAGGGCGAGCCTGACTCGTTTTTAAAGGAATATTGGAAGTGCCAGAATTCTGCAACCACTGTACTTCCACCTGTCTGTGGAAGGGGGAAACCTTTGATGGATAACAATAGATTGTCTGGTGTTGAAAACATCCTATTTGGCCCTCCCCCGACCCAAGACATCATGGATACGCCAGTGGAAAAAGATGGAACATTGCATAAAATGCAACCATTGCGCTTACCTCGAATCCAACATATTAGCTTGTTTCGTTCGCGACCTGAAGATTCTTAATATATGTGTATTTCCAGACTAAACAAAAATATTAAAATTTGTGTATGAGTTTCCTGTTTAAATTAAAAATCTCATCATACTTCTAGAAATGAATTTTAAACATGGAATTCTTTTATTCTATCTTCTCAGGAGTCTGAGAAATTGCAGACGACCAACGCTAGACTTCGAGAGGAAATCGAAAAGCTCCAGCACGAAAAGGAGACCCTGATTAAGTTGATAAATTCCCACCGACCAACTTGTATAATGAAAACTGGCAGGGATCCGAATGTTGCACACACAGTTCACAGTTTCAAGTATTCTGTCAGATGACATCACCTGTTTGCTCGCGACAAGCGGCGTTCCTAACATTTTATATTACAAAGCACACTGAAACGGATATTTTCGAATCCGTATTACCAATAGAAGCGACTACTATCTGAGTAGGCCTAGTTGCCGTCGGCTAAAATAATAAATGAAGTAAACAAATACCAAACAAACACATAAACAAACAAACTAATAAAAAAATCATTATGGATGGATGTATCCTAATATTTTTGTGTGGATATTTATAGGAAAGATGATTGTTCGTACATAATGGGGGTTAAACAGGTTTGTTCGCTGTACACATAAACTTTATGAAACACTGTATTATTTTTTGTGAGGTCACTGTAAATTTGGCTTCTAGGGCTGGTTTTCAAGACCGAAAGCTTTTTGACTTCTCACAGATTCAGCCTCCACTGACACGTAACTTTGACCCATTCGCTCTCTTACCTGTCGTAATTATGCCAGTAATATGTCGACGTACTTATACAGACACAGACTATCCCATACGTCGATGTCAGCTTTTACACCGAATTTAGATACATCAACTTGTTAAACAAGTTACAGCCCGAGTCTTGGGTGTTTTGTCAGTAGAAGGTACTTTTCCCTTAAGGGGGTTCCAGAAATTAGGGGTCCAAAAGTGTGACATTTTTGTGTCCCTGTTACATCTGACCTTTGTTATTTGACATGGAAATATTACTGGAATTGATTTCCAACTATTACTGTTTTTTGGCAGGTAATTTGCATTTTATTAGAAAATGTGTTCTGAACTTACAATATCAGACGTCAGATGGGACAGGGACACGAAAACATGGACCCCCTAGTTTTTAGAATTACCCATAAGTTATCCTCAAAAATTGATGTCGAGCGTTAAAAGTTTATTTTGCGATCAAAAGTGTTTCCCGTGAATGCTAATAGCCAATCTCAGTACATGCTCAATGTTTAAACAACTATAACACAAACACGTTATGTTCACAGAATTATCTAACACAAATATATTTTGTATCTATACTGACTGTATTTATTTATTTCTTCATCGCCTTGATGTTTTATCCAGGTTTTTATTTCATAAATAAACAAATGCTGAAGTGAAGATAAGATAACTTAGACAATCCAGGTATTTCATTGCGATTTCTTCGAAATGTGCAGCCTCCTGTCAAGTAGATTACACAGAAAGGTGATGAACATATTGCAGGGATGACATTGTATGTAGCAACCAGCCTGATTAAGTTACAAACAATACCAGAGGTGCTTTCAATCAATTTAGTCCAAAACCTTTAAGTCGGTCATGTGATAACATGCAGAGGTTTGACAAGATTTTGACATTTGATAGGAAAGCACGTGAGTGTTTGGATGTTACTATAATCATAGTTACTTTGTAATCAATCATTCAGGTGTTATTTCGTTTAGGACTCAGTTGCTTGTTTTCGAGACAAATTTTCATAATAACAAAGTTCGTATTAACTATTACGTAATAGGCATTTGTTGTGCAAGTTTGGTTGAACTTGAGTTTATCGGAAGCCCTATTGGCTTAATATAAGACCTATAGTTCCCACATTTCAGAAGTTATGTTGGCAGCCTTTTATAAACATTTTTGGACAGTCTGGAGAGTCAATGAAGTATTTCTTGATTCGCAACAAGTGAATTTGTTTTACTCCCAGATGACTCTAATGTTAAAGGTTAATGCTTGCTTTTTGGTACAAAGATCGTGTATTTATTCTTCTTATCACGAGATTCTAAGTGTTAAAGTTTGTCGTCATTTTGTGGCCAGTTCAATTTGAGAATATTCGGTATTGATTTTGTATTACAGAACTGTATTTATTTAAATAAATGCTTGTTTCTTGGTACTGAACCATATTCTTCACGATACTTTGGATCTGTGTATTTCATGCCTGTATTGTCTCAAAGCCTTCGTAGGTGAACAGAATGTTTGCTTAACGGTTGTGTTTTGGCGCCTGGCCGTATAGTTTCCTCCTTAATATCCTCTTGGAATCTTGACTTCAGTCCCGATCGTCATGAATGGCAGGATATTCAAGTTCGCGTCGAGGGTCTGTCCTCATCGTCCTCCTCCGTGTCTGGTTCGAATCTTGCCATGGTCATTTAGGTCGGTTATTAACCAACTGCTTGATTGAGCATGGCTTTGTTTCTTCAAAAAGTCAAAGTATAATGAGGTTTTTTTAAATAGATTAGTCTATACTGACACGAAGCGACTTTTTAAAAATGCCTTATCCTCTCTTAATAGACCCAAAATAATATGATGTCACGCTTTGTTTGCAAGTACACTTGCCTCGTGACTCACTGGATCGCATCCTACCTTATATAGAGTACCGAAGTGTGACGACACTGTGAACCAGAAAGTGCAGTGCAAATGAATGGAGTACGCGCGCGTGTTGGTTCACGCGCTGGTTCTCGTGCTAATTTCGTGAATACGTCACGCGTACAATTAGTGTGTAAAAGGCATTAGCGCGAGAACCAACACGCGTGCGTACTCAATTCGTTTGCACTGTACTTTCTGGTTAAAAATGACGTCACACTTCGGTACTCCATAGTGCATGTGTGAACAAATATCAGAGGGAGGCCTGGGTTAAAGTACAAATGAAAAACTCAGAAAATGAACACAATAGTATAAAAAGAGGTTTGACGTCGTTGTCATCATTACTGCACATGCTCAGTGTTGAGAGCGACTCGCATCGGTAGATTGACGTGCTACTCCTACAGGTAATCTTATTGTAGCTAAGGCCTTCCTAGTATCCCAAAGACAGTTATAATGGCTTTTTCTTTTTTCACTGAGGAGGCGCCGAGGTAACTGGGGTGAATCGTGGACCCTGTAGGCAAAGTTGCTCCAAATACCCTACCAACCTCTGCGCAATCATTTTCAACAAATCAGAAATACAACTATCCGTACCGCATACCTGTACCCCTGCAGGAAAATGATGTATAGGGACTCTCCCTCTCATCCTGGATCCGCAATATCAAGGACTGTCGGAATGAATCAAAATTTATCAGTATTATGCATGCACAATATCCAGGGTTCTGACATAATAGAAAGCAACACTGAATGGTATTGTCTTCGCAACGGGGAAGTTTTACGAACAACACGTATACTTCCCTTGATTTTACGTTAAACCCGCGGCCCGTTTGCTGACTCAATACTGAATAATTTTAACCCAAGATAAAAAGGATGGGTGAAAACTGCAACTACAAAGTAGTTTAGTTTGTTTTATTTGGTTGATTGAAAATAATTTCTGGTTTTTTTTAACCAAACAGTGGTTAACATCCACTCATTTTGATGGTGAAAAATGAGATAGAGAGTAATTCTCATCCAAAAATTGGGTTAACAAAGCCCATATTTGGGTAGTTGCAGTTTTCAGCCTTCCTTGGGTTAAAATTTAACCCAGGCAATTTTTCAATGAAGTTCTCATGTTTCGTAGCTATAGTTTAACAGAGTCTTGAACTGCTTAGGTGCCTATTTCGCAATCATCTGGTGAAAAGTTTTCCTGTTACTGATAACAGGTTGGCGATATTTCAATATTACCTTTGTGATATAGGTTAAGTTGCTCAGCGTATTATGAAATCTTGAAGGTCGATCATGGATGTTATGAAAGTAACACGATTTCTGTGATGACTTGCTTTACAATAACCCGCCATCTTCTCCATTCTAGAGTATGAAAAAGCTGAAACAAAGTGATTAGACGCCTTAAAATGCACCTTCAAACCATTCTCTAACAATGCTCTACTTGAAGAGATGCTTACGTTATTTTCACTTTATAGTAAATACTTTTGAGTATTTCGAGACTGCAGGCCTATATGTTTCTTTTTATTTTTTCAAATGCCATACATGAATGACTGCAAAGCGAGTCACGATTCAGTATATATGCTACACTTTTAGTAAAATAAAACTACAACTGTTCGGTAACAATGAAAGTCAACTAAAATCAATTGCTACTGAATTTTATTTTGGTATGTTTTAGAAATTTCTTTATACAGTCCTGTGACATTTTACGGAAAAATTGGAAATTATTCCGACTAAGTACTGTGGAAAAAAATAACCTTGCCCCCCTCCGTAAAGGTGGAGATTTCACAGTGTTGTGAAATCCCCTTTTGTGTGGGCCTACGTGTGCATCCTTGCCCCGTGACACGTCACAGGAGAGACGCGCGGCAAAACTGATGAGTCATGTTTTCCTATACGTTTTCAATGCGATTAGCATTGAATTGGGAGGCTTTGTGCTGGAATTGAGTTCAAAGGGTCCCACGTCGGCGCGCACACTCAGTTGCGGAAAAATACACTGAAAATATTTATAAGCGAGAGGCAAAGCTAGCACAGCATTATTACTTCACTGGCAAGCAGCGTGGGTAGTGTGAGCGTAGCAAGAGGACTGTAAATAGACATACGGGTACTGTACACACAACGTACGATGACAAAGTTGTCAAACGCGTAGTGCATGTATACATGTACATGTTAGGACTTGTGTGACGACGATGTGCCTTTTTTACAATTTACAATAGGCTTCATATTCTTATATTGTCAGTTTTTTATTTTGTTTTGGGGAGCCAGATATACATGCATGCACACTCCGTGGGACCGTCACAATTGTCTCATTTTGTTTGAGTAATTCTTCAGTTTTTCAAACGTGTGGCGCAACCTTCTATACCCCCTTGTAGAATCGGGATTAAATTCAATTTTATTGAAATTTGTTAGTAGAATATTTGCAATTTCACGCAGTGCAGTCTTTCATCACAAGCGACATTCTAGGTAACAAGTGTCACGTGTAGCAGATGTACCCATTCCACAGAGTTGTTGGACCCAAGTTTGCTCTCCCTCTATCAGTACTGGGAACTGAGATATGCATATGTCTTTCACAACATCCTGTTTCGGAAATACGTCACAGCTACCGACACCAAAGGACTGTGGGTTACTTGCTATCCCAATCAACGCGCACACTCATCATGTGCACGTGCAATGCGCACGCTGTAACTTTGACCCATGTTATTTGGTTCAAATGAACTCTGTCCAATGAGTGCTCGATAAAAATTACGTCATGCAAGAATAGCCCCTCCCAACGTCTGTAGGGGGGGGGGCGAGCGAACGGACGTTAAGCAGTGAAGAGTGCCGCAACTACTTTGTTGGCAGCCGTCCAGGGAACTTGGGAAATACCCTTAACACATAAAATGTTGAAATATTGATCAAGCTTTAACAAATTCCCCTCCCCCATCATGAGAAATAATTTGATTTCTGTCAAGGAAGGAAACCTAGAATTCCCCGTGCCCGAGCGCAGATTCAGCAAGTCGTTTTCTACTTCTAGAACATTCCTAAGTGGACTGTGCGTTGTGAAAAGAATGAAAACGTTCGACCTTCGAATTAATCAAATCAGCCGATGGACGAAGATTTGTGATGATGTGTACAATTTTGAACATCGCCATTTTGTGTTTATTTACTTACGACTGCGATTATTAATGCATAGAATACAAAGTTCGTTCCTGTGTTTTCATTGTTCTGCTTCTGTTTATGTATTGTTTGTAACAGAAGACCGTCATCGAACCACAACACCGTCAGAAACTGCATCGGTACAGCTGTATTCCATAAAGGAGGGACATCTTCGTACAGAATTTCACCAACCAAGTTCCCAGCATCCAGAATGTCATCATCGGCAAGCAAGCTACCAACAGGGTCCCGCAGGAGTCTTTGGCGATCGGTGTCGAACGAAAATCAGGATGTCCAAGGGGCGGCGATAGTTCCAAGACATCTCTTTGGGGAGTCTAGTTATGATGGTGACGCTAAGCATCTGATTGATAAAGGATTTCCGCAAAGGAAAGCAGCTTGTTTACAACCTCTGCAATCAAATGGCAACGGTGCAGGACAACATGGTAAGGATATGTAACATTCAAATAACAATGGTTAATTTTCTGATTTAATTGGGGGAATAGAGTTTTCCGGGGCCAATTTCATAGAGCTTCTTAAGCACAAAATTTGCATAAGTGTGAAACAACCTTGCTTGACAAATCAGGTTACCAGCCAAAACTCCAAGTGATGTATATTGGTTTGGAATGGTATTCACCTGTCTTTGGCTTAATATGACAACCACATAGCCTAGATTTTGAGCTGGTAACCGTTGTTTATTGAGCAAGGTTTTTTAAGCAAATTCTGTGCTTAAGCAGCTCTATGAAATTGGCCGTGGACTGAATAAAGAGGGCCGGCACTAAGATTTGACGAGTTAGGCATGTCCGACTTCGTGTGCTCAATGGGGAACCACCATTAAACTTAACCAAAAAACAAACAAACAAACAAACAAAAACACAAAAACAAAAAACACACAAAACATGTTGATTAGCGAAGTTCGGTAAGAACGGGTATGGTGCTAAAGCTGTCAAAGTGATTAGTGTTTATAACTCCAAGCACTTAAGCATAATTATGATGAAATGAGCGTTCGTGTCATTTGAAGCAAACAACATTGATGTCCAACACGTAGTTTCCGTGGAGCGTTGGGTATTCGTTTGTTGTGGTTAGAAAGAGTAACAGAGTAATAATCAGGTGAAACATTGTTTTTTCAATCTGTTACCACAAAGTCCGGAAAGCAGTTTCTATAAATAGAAAGCGTCATCGATTTAGCATGATACACGTACATAAATAATTCCCTGACTGTACCTAATGCGCATGTACAATTGGCATTTGGCAAGTTTGTACATGTAGGCCTCTATAAAAATAGATCGGATTAATAAGGTCACTCTCTAGTTTCATTCAGCAATGCACAGCTCAAGGTGGAAAGCAGGTTGGAAGTCGCCGGTATACAGTGGGTAGTTCTATGGATGCTGTGGGTTCGTGTGTTTAAATCATTTTTTTCCTTCTATCTAAAAGTTTATTCAATTCCCTGGTCGTTTCTTGCATTCATCAGTATTGTTAAAGTTTATCTGTCGTGCTTTAATTTATGCTGGCAATGTCCCAAACCAGTGATGACCACAACAGGGGCGGCCAATCTTCCCTGTTCTCTCTCATCAGATGGTTTACAAATCACCATCCGCAGCTTCATTGAGACCAGACGCTGTACATTATGACAATATTATCCTGTAAACAGCTTGGGCAAATGTTGGTCTCAGAGATCTACTTGCTGCAAAGTTTCTCAAGATGCTGCGAGTACTCACGGGAACAGCGTGCTATTCGAAGTATCCATTTCTTGGCGCCTCATCATCGTGTGGCATAGGATGAAAATGTGCCTCGTTGGCGTGCCATCAAATTGCTATTGATTGTCCTCTTTTTCTGTTGCCTTTTCTCATCATCTGTTTGTGTTCAACAGGTTCATTGTACAGGTCAATAAGTAACGACTCGGAGCAGTCGGATGCAGACTTCGACCTACTTCCCTTGATCAAGGAAGAATTGCGGAATAATATCCAGAAGCGTCGATGGCAGAGAGGCGTGTTGGACCTGGCTTTGGAGGACTATGACAAGGAAAAATACCAGGATGATCAGGTGCAGGTTGATAAAATTGAGCAGAACTTCTTTATTACCCCTTAGGGTTGGGTCGTCAGATAAAAGGACAGATGTTTCGGAATGTGTCCTCTGCTTAAAAGCCCCCCGGGGGTGGAGAAGTGCAAATAGGACCAAGGGCTTCATTCATCGAGAATTGTCGTTTAAAAGTAAGCGGTGCTCGGTCACTCAATTTCGAACAATCTGAAAGCTCTGAAACACTAAGAGATGAAATTAATTAGTACCATACTTGTGTTGGATATGGTTGTAGGCGAATTGCCTGCTGGATGACGAAAACATAGTTGGGTATTGTGAAATAGCACTGATGTGACTTTTTGAGTCATGTCGGACAAAGCATTATCCCCTTGACTACACTGTCGTTGCACACTGATCCACGGATGTTGCTTTTAAGCCTGTAAGTAGAAAGCGCGCCACCAACAGAGGGTTTTGCTGAGGAAAACCGTTCTGCACAAAATGTGCATAGGTCAGTGTCGAGTGTTTTGTCCGTAAAATATCCAATCTTCTTTTTGGTCCTTTTAGCTGACTCCAGAGGAACAAGCGAAGAGGGAAGATCGGAAGAATAGAAACCGAGAGGCTGCCGCCAGATGTCGGGCTAAGAGACGTAAACACATGGAGGAACTTGAGCAGGTATGTCTTGTTAAATGCTTTAATAGTAGTCACACATTGTATTGCCATGCAGCCTCATGTCTTATCGATTAGTCAAAATATTCTACCAACTAACGCCAGGTGTACGTGTGGGCAAATCAGATATAGAGGGATTTCACATTAGCGCTGTCTGCGCATACTTTGCATCGAAATCGAGGCTCTCTGTGTTGAACTTTGTCGCGCGCACACGCGGAGTCCACACAGTACATGCAGTAGGCGGTTCGTAAGTGTGACACCACCTCAGTTTAAACCACGCCCACTGCACAAGATACACGACCATCGCAGGTACGTTAGTTCGCGGTCAATTGTCGTTATTTTTTCTTTTGATTTCACGTGTCCAGTCATCATGAAAGATTCTTCCACAAAAATTTGCAGCCTGAAAAGTCTGAATTTAACATACCTTTAGGTACTTTGTGTCTTCATTCCTTACTTTCAGTCGTCTGATCGTATTCAGAATTGAAGCTCACACATACAGCCTTGTTTTCAGCGTTGTATTGGGATCACTCTTTTGCTATGCACTGGTTTGTGACATGTCGCTTACTATGCTTGCTTGGAGTTTATTGCAATAAAAAAGGCGACGATAGAGCCTGTATAGAACTTGAAAGCGCCCACCATATAGGCTACTTATACTTAATTTCCACAGAAACATACTGTGAGGTGTGCAGTTGGGACGTCTGTTTGGAAATAAAACGATTATTTTTGCTAATAATTGCTCCCGAAGATGAAAAAGTACAATAAAATACCATGTCCTCTTAAGGTTCAATTTAGCTTTTACGGGCCCTTGTATTCTTCAACAAACTTTTGCAATCGCTGGGAAGAAGGATGGCTATTAGTTGTATCACACGTCGATGGTTAATATACTTGAAAAACGTAACTACTGATATGCTTCAATACTGTAATAACACATTACAGAAAATATATTCGGAAGTGTTTTGTAAAACTTGCAAATAAATGAGACTTTGTAAATCTCGTCCAGGAGGCAAGGTCATGCACAAACCAGGAAGAGTCGCTTTGATAAAGAATTAAACGATATTTCTTCAATCTTCATTGGGAAAGAAACTTATACCATTTATTATTGGAAGGATTACACTATGGACGGCACAAGGGTGGATCCAGAACTGAAGTTTCGGTGGGACCAAACTCGTTTGGGGGGCCAAAAATTCTAAGACGTTTTCACAAAATCGTTATAAGCAGAACGATGTATCAGAAATAATCTTCATGAATAGCTTAATATCTGATTACCAGGAGTTACTTCAAGTTATCTTCTTTTGTTCCTTCCAATGAACATAAGACCTGTCTTTGTACTTTTTTCCCAAGACTAAGTAGCCCTTCAGTAAGAGAAATGAAATGACAAAAAATATTTTCTTACTTTCATTTTAAACATTTTAATGTTTTTGTCCCCTCACAGTCAATGGTGAACCTGGAATCTCGAAAAAATGAATTGATACAACAGAAGGAGCAGTTGCTACGAGAAAAGCGTGAACTAGAGAAGATGGTGGACGACCACTTTAGGCTGTGTCCTTGTAACAATGAGATGAGAGGCACATGACAATCGGTGGACGCATAGATTGGTCCATTTATATCCTACCGATGAAGGAAATCTACCTAAGACGATCATGCTTTCGAATGAACTACTGTGCGAACAAATCACTATGAGGGCGCACATTGGCCATCACAGACGATTTTTTCAGTGGTCGCTAATTCCATGATCTGAAGTAGCTCTTCTGATGGCAGAGTATTCGAACAATAAACATGCATGTTAATGTGTGTCATTAATCGCAACAAGTGTGCAGATTGTACGGCGTGCTTCAATTTGCGCTTAGAGAAAGCTTCTTCAATTTGACAGTATATTTCTGTAATTATACAGCTAAATTTCCGTCGCGTTATATCACTGTGGAGAGTTGTGTATCTGCTTTGAGCAGAAGCCCAACCCCCTCCCTCAGATTAGATCCAGGTCTGTCGGGCGTGTTCATTTTGCTGGTAGCGACGCGACCGTTACGCATGCATTTCATAATCGTTCGTAAACCAGCGAAGCGCAGGTCTGACCAAAGGAGCCACCGTTGCAAGGAAATTTGCACCCTATATTGATTTAGCTTGGGCTCATGGTGTAGTGCATAGCATTCCACTACATGTATTGTACAATGAAAAGGGTATATATTTCCCTTTACGTGTGTAGATATTTTGTTTATAATTTTATTTTATTTACTAGCATCAGTCGCTACATGCTACACTAAGTATTTTACCGATATATTTATTTATCTATAGTATCTATTAAAGTTACTGGATTAATAGCGTAATGTGTGTAATGTTACTCGCAAATTAATTTATTGATGTGTCTTATTACACAGAATAAGTTTTTTCTGAATTAGCATAAAAGGGATATTTTTGCTTTATTCCCTTACTTTGGGTCTGAAGATATAGGTTTTATCTGAAGTTTTATCTGAATTAGCATAAAAGGGATATTTTTGCTTTATTCCCTTACTCTGGGTCTGAAGTATCGTGACATCTAGTTTGTTTGTCATTTTTTATCAAAATGTCCGACTAAAATGTCTTTTCCTCTTTCAATATAAATGGATTTCCCTGACAAACCCATTTCTTGTAAAAAAGAAGTATACTATCACACCCGAGTATTACAGCAATAAGTACGGTTTTAGAGAGTGGCAGGAACTTCAGGAATAACAAAAAATGGCTAGGAATATTTCACAAACCAAAATAATAACATACCCCGTTGATATATGCACTTGTCAATTAATTAAAATCTCTGTAATTGATAAACGAAGCTATCCACATACACTGTAGTCACTGAAATAGTGAATTAAAACGAAAGGTGAGATACTCCACGTAACAGTATATTGTCTGTGTTTTATTAACGCCATTAAGACACTCCACTTTTTAATTAAAAATATCCCCATGCCTCTTTTTGAAAGCAACATTGAAATAAGTCGTTGGCGCACAAAAAGAAAATATATACTTTTTATTTGGCCCTCAATCCCAACGTTTTAACTTACCTTATATTACGTGCTTGCTTTTGACGAAACTTGTGTGCCTCTACTTTGGTTATTCTGTCAAGATCGCATTTTTGTAACTCAAGTTACTTAGTCAACCCACGGGTCAGATCAGAAGTTGGGACAGCCGCTTCTAAGGTACAGTTCCTACAGGACAAATCTTGTACTGATGTTATAAAAGAATTTTAACCCCCACGTGATTGCTATTTTCGTCAGAGTGAAAAGATCCAAATCAAGAATTGACAAGAAATAAAAGAAAGTCTATTAGACTGGTTACCTGAGCTCTAATTATCGGACCGCTGACAACTACTCCCTATCAAAACGACTGCTCTTGTAAGTGGCGTATCCAGCAAGGGTGAGGATCCACAGGGACATGTTTCCGGTTTTTTTTTAATCGAAATTGGCACTATTTACAAACAGTTTCCCCCAGTGGTACCGGTATACCACCAAGTACCGGGGGTTAGGTCACTAGGACTTTTAAAGAGGATGGACCGTCATTTTAGACGAAAAGTTCCATTCCCCGACCTAAGACTTGGACACGCCACTGGTTTTTGCCCAAAAAGATTGCCCATCTTGGGCGTGTCGGATAAATCAGAAAGAAAGGGGGACGCTTTCCGTAACCACTGAAATGTGAATGCTTCTAAATAAGAAATGACCAAAAGATTTGGTAAAAACGTTTTTAAGAGCAATTTCAAAATTACCCATGGGACTGCAACTCCGCTTCACCATAAACGGGTGTTTGAAAAAGAAAACACAAATAAACCTCCGTGTAATAAAGTTCTATCACAAGACGCAGTTTGCAATTATAGATCAGTTAAGAACAGAATCATGAGATAAGATTGTTCACCCCTTGTTGCGGCTCTGTAGCTCCTCCCCTTTTTATCCACCGCTTCCATTCAAACCATTAAACTTACTGACACTAACTTCCTATCACTTCCTGCAAACACACAGCACTTTGTATTTCCTTCCTAACGCTCTGAATCGGGCAAGTTCCTAACGTTCTGAATCGGGCAAATCCGGGAGCAGTAGCTGTAGTTATACTTCCTCTTCCTTCGCGGTAAGAAAGACGGAAGATGCTTGCCCCAAACACCGTCAAGTCACTATTTATATCGTCGTATTGTCAGCGTTTTTCCAGTTGGGGAGATAGTTCCCCCTATTCCCTAGAAGTAGAGCTGGATGTTTTTCCATTCGAGTAATGTTTACAGTATTTATACCGATAGCGAAGATGAAAAAATGTTGAATTTTTCCTCTAAATAAGTAAACAAAGAAACTATTGAAATGTGTCACGGTGTACAGAACAAATGAAACTGTTGGCCTACAACAAGAATCAAGAATGAACTCTCTAATGAAATCTGTTAATTATGGGAAAAGTACAATAAACCTTCCCCTAAATAACGTCGTCCCTATGAAATTGTTTAGTGATAGGTTTGTTTGTTTTTATTTTGTAATCCTCGAGTGAATTTGCACGATAGTTTTTTAATGAGGCTTTTACACTCAATTTAAGCTGAAATAAAAACGATATGTTGGTTTGACTTTACCCATACCGTTCAGGTAACAGAGAGTTTTGCTGTGTACACATCATGATTGAGCAAGGTATTCGGCTTGTCTATGACCAAACGTCGCAACTGTTGTTTCCCAGCAAAAGTGTTAACACAATGGTATCTAAATAAGAAGGAGTTGTAATCGGTTGTGAACTAGTTTTTTGTGGGTTAAGAGCTTCAGCACCCCCCGGGGGGGGGGACTCTACGTTACGCGTCTGGCACTTTAATTTGGGGGTTAATAGGTGACCCGCGCTACCCCCTATATTTATAGTTATGTAACAGTCTCGTGAATGGTAACAGAAATTGACCCATACTTTTCACACTGCAAAGCGTCATTGTAAATCACATTCGTCATTTCCTGCTGTCAACTTTCAATCTCCACCACGTCTTTTTGAACTTAGGCAACCAGTAAACGAAATCACTACTGAAACTTTTTCTTGCTTTTGCTCGGCTATAATTCAACAGCAAGCATATTCAGGTCTCACCCCCTCATAAACAGCTTTTTGTTCACTTAGGGCCTATTGATTGTGAATTCGCTCGCTAAAGAATTCGACTTTATTCTTGGTGTTTCCTTTCGTTCTAGGAAACCTATTCAACTTTTGGCAAAAGGTGATTCTGCTCTGTTCCAACAAGGTCATGCATGTGACGATTCATTTTCGTAGCTATCAGCATCAGAAAAAGGGGTTTACTCTACGTTTTGAAGAGTTTGGTCGCGACAAGAACCCACCAATGTGAAGCCTTCCTGCTTCAACAGATTTCATCACAATACCTTTGCAATCAGCCATCAAGAAAGTATGAGCATCTTTAGCACATACAGGTACGTATGATAAAATATTTCTAATTTATGGAAGTGATTAAACCTCTATTCGAGTATGCTTGTATAGTTGCACCAATCTCTGCATCTAATGTCATCACCCTGCTTTGGTTACGAGAACGCTGAACATAATTTTGCTGGATGTCTGTTGTTCCTTGACTTTTCAGTAGGTCATATACACGTGACATAATACCTCCGCGACGATAAGACCAAGTTGGACGTGGAAAGCTAACGCTTTGTCAGACCAACGACACCGCAATTAAATTTCTCGCCAAATGCAAAATTCCGCTTCGTTGTGACAACGTATTTTACGTGTTTTTCACTTATTCGTGCATGCATGTTGCTTTGTCTTCCGACCTTTGAGCCTATTAAGTAGCACAAAATTTCTGGGGTTATGCACAGAATTCCATCGCAAACGGAATCCTACAATTGGATTTTAGTGTTTCTTGGCCGGTTGAAATATTTGGATTGACTGCCAAGAATTATTAAGGGCATCGTTGTTGATCCTGCAAGATCTGAAGCATCCATCCGGACTCTTCCTGGCGTCTGCTTGGGATTCTACAAACGAAGCTGTGACAGATATGTTCCATGACATCGATACTGATTTCTTTGAGTGGATCGAACACCTGAGAACACTCCAAGATTAAACGACGGTAAAAATTAACAAGTCTGGGCAATTAGCTCACTTTATCAGTGTCTAGGGTTGAGGAACGTTCAAGGTGCTACTGACCTTAGACTTGGAAGTGGGCACAACTAAAGATGGTTGTCGTAGTGTATGTCCGAATATCTTGAGACTGTTGGTCCTACCTATCCGCCTGCAACAGTATGAGAATGTCATCCATCCCCTAGACAGCCAATTTGGCATGAAATCTCTCTGAGTTGCCTCGGACACCAAGGGTGAAGTGCATTTCAAGCCTCATTAAAACCAATGTAAAATCAACAACGTTCAGGGGACAATAACATGCAAGCCGACATTACTGGAGTTTGCCAAACAAAATTAAAATTGTCATCTTGTCTTTTATCTTTCCATCAATTTTAAACGTTTTGTTGGGTTAGCCAATACTTGTTTTAATTATTCCAGGAAAACCAACTCATACCCCCCAAGTGATAGTTTCTCGCAGCCACTTTTCATATGACATCTCTCTATTTTCTTGGGCATTGGACTATTTTTTGAACCGTAATTTTATCATCTGTATCATCGATTGGGAGCCCCAGGAATTAAAAAGTTGATCCTGATCTATGTATATTTTACACAGTCCCAATTATTTTTGGCCAAACAATGTCCTTTAAAAAAAAGAAACCTTGAGGCAGTTTTCATGCTAATGAGCTCTTAAATTAGTGCACTCAAGCCCAGCGACGTATCCAGCTTTTAGTGTGTGTGTGTGTGGGGGGGCAAATTTAGAAGCGAATGCGACTTGGTACTCATTCAACATGATGTTGGGGGAGAAAAAAATCCAAAGTCTCACTCACGGTCCTGACATCCTTGCTTTTGTTTGCTGGTGTTGTTTTCCTAGGGGTTTGGTGCTAATATTTGATGAATGGATATACTTTCATCCCTACTCACATATAAAATATATTCTTTTTATAAAAATTAAACGTTGGGGGAGCCTGGGCCAAGTTGCCCCCTGCCCCCCCCCCGCGGGATACGTCACTGCTCCAGCCCCAAGTCAACTATCGCAAGATGTTAATTCTCACCTGAAGGTGGCCCGTCAAAATGCTTGAGACAAAAAAAGTTCCATAGAGTTGAAATGTGGAATAGCTACTGCTATTGGGGATGTGACATTATTTATTTACAAAAAAGAGAACCAAACTGACTAATTATCAATTATTCAGGTTTTTGTTATCAATATCAACAGTTTTGTTTTTCTTGCTTTGTTTTGTTTTCTGAAAAAAAAGTTCCAGGCAGTTTGTACTAACTCTGCTCTATATAAGGGCTGACCATTTAACTTCTTTTAATCATTTCGCAAGAGTACAGAGCATTCGTGCTTAACTCTTTTTCTGATGTTATCATAATTATTCGCATTTGTTTTAAGTAGAAATGGCTTTTATCCCCTCCCCTGGTTACGGTTTGTATACGCGCTTGTGAAAAGGATGGTTAGAATAATTTATTTAGCTCCTAACTTAAATTGTGCTCAGCAGTTTTAACTGGAATTCATTTTACCCTTTCGCTTCTTCGTGTTTCTAATGAATACAAAACTTGAAATAACTTCATCTGAAATTGACCAAAACGATCACATTGAAATTATTTTGGTTGTGATTCGTCAGTACCCCTGACGCGATACCTTGGCTTGTAATGCGGAAGTACTGTTAGTAGAGAGGGTAGAAAAGTTCACCTTAGAGGAAATAACACGAGGATAGTTGACGATCGTACTACAGCAGTTACAAATAAATAAGTTCACGTGACATGACTTATTTATTCGTCATCCTTTTTGATGATATCACGACAAAGCGCGTGAATATGATTTTCACACGTCCTATATTGGTAATTTTTTGCAACGTCACTTAGATGTTTTTAGCCACAAAACTACCTTAGACAAATTGTTATGACTCAAATTGGAATAACTAAATTGATCACAACACCTTGTTTTTAGTTTATCTATCCGTTGTATTTTCATTCCTTTTTGTTATCAACTACCTTCTGCAGAATAAAAAAAAGCGGTATTCGCTATCAAACAAAATGGCAAATAAATACAGGTGGCATTTAGGTCATGTTTGCAGAAACAAAAGATGTCAAGCCTGTGGGGCTTAAGGTCATCCAAACAAACGATCCTCTGCAGTATACAACCATACACTTGCTTATATCTTAACTTGTATGTTCATGGATGGCAATCCCGAGGCGGTTGGGCTTCCCGTAGTCGGATAGCACATCCATAAAGTTTTTCTCGGTGGTGTGGAGGCAGCGTGTGGCTGTGCACCCTTCCCAAGTTGGCTCCTCTTGCTTGAATAAGAATGCGCATAGACCACCCATTATGTCCAAAACTTCCTCCAGAATTATAATGACTGTTGATACCGAAACACTAGAGCTATAATTCATTTTTTTTTGCAATGAGTGCCCTTTGTTTAATTGCACAAGATTTAGAAGTGGAGCGGATCGCGTCCTTTAGAATAAAACACTGAAGTCCGCATAACGGATACTCATACACAATTATTTACAGGCATTAGACTAGAAAAAAGATAGAGACAGCCCGTTAACTAACTCTGTGTCTAAGTACAAAGCACTGACAGTCTTGAATGACATTTCCATAGCAGGTCAGATCAAGTTTAGCGCATTCGTTCGAAGATGGGACCTTATATCACCTAGGATGCGGCTACATTGGTCCCTTCTGAGTCCGATCTTCGGAATTTATCCTATTCTGAACAATTTTAGCCTCAAAAGTTTCTTTCTAAAATGCTTAAATTAAAACTCCATCCGGTTTTATTCTCTGTTGGAAAAACTTCATCAGCATTTTTGCCATACGTGAAATTTTATTTCCGCATGCGTTAACGTGGGAGAATTTCAAGAAATTAACGAGTCCGACACGGAACTTACTATGCCCCGCATACTCTCAAAGCTTACCGGTATTTAAGTTCTATTAATCCGACCGTTTTTGTCAATCAAAGTTTTCCTGCTAACCATACAAGGAATTAAAGTTAATAAACCAAAGTATACTTCCTTCGTCCGGCTGAATAAGCTTCACTGGCCGTTATAAAGCGGAATGTCTATGTTTGAGGGAAATCAATTCGCAAAATGATGCAGACAGGTGTCGGGTGATACGATCCTGTTTTCTTCATAGACACATTCCAAACGAGGTCTAATATACGGTGATAAGGCCGAATCTACACCTTTTTATTGTGCTTTTCACGAGTATGTATGAAAAGATACAAAAGGATCTAAACCGAGTTGTACTGATGCCTGTTGTGAAGTACTTGGTTCAGTGAATAAAGGCAAGCACATTCACAAACTTCCACAAAAACCCATCGAAGTTGAATCCTAACAGAGGTGTGTTGAAAACTCCAACGAAACTTGGTGACACAGCTGCTAAATGTCAATCATTACATTCTTGTGTCCAACAGTTTTTGTTGTTTTCAACACTGAGTGAATCTACTGCTTCAAATGTAATCCTTGGTGGACACTTTAATACTTCACTGCATGAAATTTTGCGGCTCCGGAGACTATGGTGTCACTGTTAGCGTTCCGAACTACGAGACAATTACCAGGCAATAACAACGGTAAGATGGCCGAGTACATACGCGATTTCACCGGGAAGGAAGCCGTTGTTGATTGCTCAGACAGCTTCAACTTCACGGAGCTCGACAGAAGAAGCGTAGTTCGACTGGATGTAGGACAGGGCAGGCTAACAGGGGAGTCCCTTGAGGACCAGGAAGGTGAGCGAAGCGACGAGGATGACTTAGGGTCCAGTAACACGGTGAGTACTTGGCCACCTTTGCTACTTACTGACCAAACAGCTAAACCCACAAGGAAGATAGACATTCTTGATTTAGTGACGATCAATTTTTCAATTTCTAGATGATTTATTTCCTGTATACTATATAGAGCTATAGATTTGAGTTTAAGGTTAAAATAGCAGGGCTTCTTGTCAAAGTAATTTTTCATTAAGGATATTTGAATTCTTTATACTTTAAGGCAAATGAAAAACAAAAACACCGACAAGCCAACTCATCAAGTGAAACAACAATATTATTTCTTCAAACAAAGTGCATGTAGAATGGCCGCATAAGTTTACGGTTAAAAGAAAGCTGAACATTTATGTGAAAACTTCAAAGTTGATAAAGATTGAGAAATCCACAAACAGTATTCATTAGACAACGTTCATGAGAGTTTGGCGCAGTTTTTCACGCCTTGATTTTCCAAACTTGCCTGCTGTGTTTGACAGCACAACAGTCATTATGGCAATGAGCCACGGGCTTGTTTCAGTCCAGTGTTCACGAAAGCCTCTACCCATATTTTTTTCTATGTCTATTTATTTCTTTCTTTGCCGTGTCCTTCCTTGCTTAGCACATTTGCAATGTGGTCATGTCTATATATGTACACAGGAAAACACTTATTATGCTACGACATAATTTTGCAAAACTGACAAAATGTTACACCTTGTCGATCTGGAACTGTCCGGTAAAAGTCCTGTCATTTCAGACAACCGTAAACCTTGACAGCATGGCCATCTTGGGCATAAAACGCGCCTTCCAGAAATCCATCATGGAGGACTGGACAAAAGTGTCAAACGTATTTTCTTCTTTTTTATATTGAAAGCAAGTACATGGAGGTGTTTTCGCTAACAACTTCTATGAAGGCTTTTAATAAGATAGTTGGAGTTTGAGAAACTGTTTTTAAGAAGGGGTGTAAACCTCGGGGGCAAGGGGTATGCATCCCCCACTTTCGGGGGATATAGGCTACTGCATCAGTCCCCACCTTTTCGTGGTGAGGAAAACAGGGCCAACTTCCCAACACCTGACATTTATCCAATAGTACTGAAGGGGGGGTATGAAAGTTCTGAATTCGTCGTTCTGAAGTAAGGTTATAGGGGTTATAGTGGTCACCTGTTATTTCCCCCCCCCGCCCTACTTTTTGAACTTCTACGGCCGGGCAATTTTTGGACTGAGTCTCCAGCACGATTCACGACACTGGTTTGATATTATTCAATGGTTTTATTAATTTTTCAGGGTTCTGATTTTGCATTTATAACCCTTTTGCTTTTATAAGCGTTCTGATTTTGTGATGACATTTTCATCCCGTTGCAATTTGCCACTCTGTAATCCAACCTTGTCCACACTAGTGCACGACTTTAAATAAAATGACAGGAAAACAGGATGTCTAAAACCCAGCAAATTACAATCATAATTTTATATATGTAATTATATTTTGCCAAATACATATGAAATGGGATTCAGGCTCTTTGAAATGGCTGAATGTTGAACAGTTCAGCCTAAATTCTATTGTTGAACCTGTCCGAAATTTTATAAAATTGCTTGCTGTTAATGGTTTTGATTTCCATTCTGCTCTCAAGTTGTCCCCGGACGATGAGACGAGGATACAACAGCGGAGAGAGCGGAACCGCTTGGCCGCTGCGCGCTGCAGAGATAGACGGCGTCATCTTGCAGCCGCTTTGGTCCAGGTGGGTAGATCATGCAAAGCTATTCCGCTGTCTTAAAAACCGTTGCAGTCATATAAGTCTCGTTACAAGTCTCTGCAAACATGACATGTTGCATGGCAGAAAACTTTCATTGCCACATTCTGATCGAACAAACTGTAAACACGGAGACAGCTAAAATAGTATGACGGTACAGTTCAGAGTTAACAAAACCGAGAATTTTACTCACGAATATTTCAAACATAAACTTGATTGCGGTTTATCAAGGTGCTTGGTATGCAAAACCAAGCAGAAAGCCCGCAACTACTTTCATACAAACAACGATCCAGAATGATGCTGAACTCTGATAAAAAAGAAAGAAAAACTAGACCCTGGATTTCAAAATCTCTAAATAACTATTGAAGATATGACACTGTGCCATTTGAAGTAATAAATGTCTGAATAAAGATCATTGATATCAAACACGACAAAAGAGCATATTTTGTCATTATTAATCGAATATTTTTAAAGCTGAGATGGAATACCGCAGGGTATAGAAGGTTTTGACTGTTGATTTGATCGACTACCATTTTTCGATTCATCAAACGTTATGGGGGCCTACACTACTTACCGATAGTAATCAGTGTAACAAGGTCACAAACTACTTTATCCAACTTTGCCGTAGTTCATATCTACAAATGTTTAAAAAGGTTTTTATTAATCTGTAACAACACAGCGTACATTCTCAGATTTTAAAGGAAGGGTGTAGAATAAGACTTCATTACAATCCCACCGCAGAGGGGGTGCTCAATGTAGTAATTAAATACAAGAATTTCCTTCATTATCAAACTTCACGAATCACCTGACAATTTGTCAGAATTATGACCCACAGTGAGTCTACAACCCGGATCTAACATGTCCCAGGAATTTCCCTCCTCTAACTTATTCCTCTTTATAAGGAAGTTATACGATCATGGTGACCGTGGGTATGTATTAGCCTAGTAGGAACAAACTAACTCTGTCGAACCTTATGGTACCAAGAAACTCTGAACAACAAACTGAAGTTATGGTCAATATTTTAACCTATACTATTATGACATTTGACAACGAGTCATACTAGTTGCTTTATTAATCAGATTAGTTTGTCTCGCAAAACAGGGCAAATGATTTCCGGCCTAGGCCTCCTGTGGGAAAAGTCAATTTTTTAGGAAATCGCGTAAGGGAAAAATTCCTTGTTACTAAAGTTAAGAATCAACTGCATGGCATTTGCGAGTGCCACCGAAATCTTACTGACGTTATTTATTAAATAACGCCAAATTATTCAAATAATGAGGCACAATTCGCGACTAATTTATTATGCAATTAGTCATGAATTAACTAGTTACAAATCAAGAATAATTAAATGAAACTGGTTTGATGGGTTTTTTTAGTTTCATTTAGTTTACGTCCTGAGCTCTCATTTTTTGGAAAAATTCTTTGAACACTGATTCAAAAAGTGAAATTGCAAATATATTGCATTCGTATGGTCCATCGAAATAAATATCTGATAGCCCATAAATTTCTGGTTAATGAAATAATTCGAATTGTCTTTTCTCACTCAATACTTGGCCGCAGGAATCCGACAATCTCGAGGCCCAGAATAATGATTTAATGAAAGGCATCGCTGAATTGGAAAAGGAAAAGCGAGCGCTGGAAGAAACACTAAGACAACACTTGCCAAATTGTGCACTCCAAAGAAAATTCACACAGAATCCACCGCTGCTTCAACTCGAAGATCAGTCACGGTTCCCGCAACATCAGCATGATCAACAACCACATCAACAACGAATGCAATATCAACATCAACTGCATCGACAACAACAGAGTTACTGCCTTCAGCAACCACACTGTCAACTAAATGGACATGAACCGTACAGACCCCAAAATCAACACCATCAACAAATGCTGTCAATGGCTAAGGGTTCTGTTGGGGGCCAGAAGTCCGCACACCAGCTTTCTGGTCAGTTTTAAGTCTTGCATACAATTTGTAACCAGTAGAACAATACTGATGAAAATCATTCCCAATAGTTATGGGCTATATATGGCTTGTCTCTCAATTTGAGAGTACGTCAGACTATCTCATTTAGATTGGAACCCGGGACTTCCTTAATAACCTAACAAATGAGTACTTACTGTTGGCGAGGTTCTTACTTTAGTGCTTTAGGCCTGAATAATTTTGCAATGCTGATTCATTCCTACTGTTGGTGAATGTCTTTTAAACTGAGCCATCAAACAAAAGAAATCCCAGAATAATGAAGAAGTGGACAAAAATGATTCTGAAATCTTTGTTAACTGCTTCAAAATATCGTTCCTAATCTGATCGTTAATGTCAGCAAGAGTGAGCTCCCAACTTTCTTAGGTTAATTAACTTAAAATACGCTTCTGCCTTGTTGACGGCGTTTGGTTATGCATGAGCAGCCAAGCATTTGCATATGCCTACAACGTATGAACTCCGTGAAAGTCGGGTTGCGTAGACGGCCATGATGATGATGGGCTACGAAAACAAAACAGCCATTCGTTTCTATTGCAGGGGTTCTCCAGTTTTAACATACCGCAAGGTATATGTAAAAAACCCACATTCTTCTAAATGTAGAAAGTGGAGCAAAGCTTTAGCGGATGTGGCTATGCTTAAATTGGGGAGTGGTTTGTATTTCCGACATCGACAGGTGGTATATATTGGAAATGAAAAGAGAAAGTGCTACATTCCCTCTTGTTAACATCCTCCTCAGAAATGGGATTTTAAAAAGGAAGTATGTGTGTCTATATATAGAAGTACTGGACACCTTGGATAGAGAAGTTTCTTCATTTTTTTCCTGACAAAATGAATAGTCATGAATAGGTAAAAGCGACCCTCGGCCCGTAAGCAACAGCATGGCTCCTTGCTGCAAAATAAGCATTATAGGTGGCTGAATATGTAATGTGTAATATGATTTAATGATTTCGAAGGAGACCTATCGTTAACAAGACAAGGGTAGGGGACTGTAGAGATATTTGTTTGCTTGCTTTTATGTAGCCTTTTCAAAGACTTGAGAGGCCATTTTCGTTCCATCTCAATTACTGTTTGTGATGGTGTAATATGCCTGCATCACGTTGGCCAAAGGTGCTTTTTGTAACTAATGTCTACATATTAAAGTTTTAACATAGAGTGACACTGAAATTTTTTATCAGGGTATGAAATCCTACTGCAAGTGATTGTTTTGATCTTATTTCACCGTCGGAGGAAATGTGTACACCCCAAAGTCCTATTCCAGCAAGATAAACAAATCTGACAAATCTAATATGAAAATTACCAGAAAGGCTTCGTGTTGAGAAAATACCCTGCATCCAAAGAAGTGAGAGTTTGTTTTCCCCACGGTACTGTTAGGCTACCTACCTAACCTAACATTTCCTTCATATCAATATTTGCGTTCCTTTCGTTTTTGAGGAAGGGGTGGTAATGATGGTGTGGTAAATTACGTAACATAAACGATCAAGATCAACCGAACAGTTGAATTTATTTGGAATGTCTTTCTAATCGGTAGATCTATGCTTATGTATAAAAACTGGTAAGATTGAGTTGTGTTCCTTCGTCAACAACGCTCCCCCCCCCCGTCAATCCATTGGCATCTTTGTTAGAAATGCGCTGGCGCCTGTTGTAGGAACCCAATTCACAGAGTAATATGAACACAGATATGGCATCCACGTGCCAGAAAACGATTTGAATTGTGGTTTGTCGCGGCCTCGTATTTCCAGGGTAGTGGGAATGCCCACAGGATATTGGAATTTTTTTTATATGATGAAGAACGTTTAACTTCAGTTTCCCTGTGAACTTTTCGTTTCACATGAATGTTGAATAGCTCGATCCAACTTAAAAGCGCTCAATGTGGCAGGAAAAAATTGCAAACAAACAACGATCACTACTTCCAAGTTAGAGTCAGCACTTACCTAAATATGAATGGACAAAAAATATTGATATTGCTATCAGTTTCTTTATAAGACTGGTTGATGTAAACAGCTAAGGTAAAGATAGACAAGTAGGTGCAGTGTTCAAGTACCGTGAAAGTGTATTTCCCTAAAATGTCAGGCCATAATGGATGTAGAAAGGGTTCCGTTTTCCCGTGACAAAATTTTTTGTACCTTTTAGGATAAGTAACAAAACTAGGCTATAAAGACAATTAAGGATAAAAGTTTATTTGAGAATTTTTTCATAATCCCAGCTTCGGGTTTCGTATTTAATTTTAGTGTTCTGGATTCATTTATAATCCATTTGCCCGTATCATTTACTTATCAGCATCTCGAATTTGCTCTTCAATCCTTCCGTCCACTGCACTCTACCACTCCACACCCCTTACCTGCGCGACTGCTGATCGGGATTTGATTTCGTCAAGGTTATCAACAAAATTATCTCTGACGAGTTAACAAGACATTAGATCTTTCTAAACACGAGGACACCGCCAAAAGCATTTGATTTTGGAAAAAGTACAATGCAATCCTGTAACTGCAGGTAAACTTTAACCTCTGCTTGTTTCACTGTTCAGAAGGCACCCCATGAGTTAAATGTATGGGCGTAAATCCAGGGGTAGGGGTGGGGTTGTATATTCCCCCCCTTTTTTGGGGGGGGCGTTACTGAATCATCCCGCAATTTTTCGAGGTGAGCAATACATTAAAGCGGATCGTGAAAAAAATGTCGGACTTCCCAACGACCAAAATACATCAAATACCACTCAAAAGGGAACAAATTTAAAACCCATAGATATGCCGTTCTGGTGTAAGATTCTGCAGTAATGTAATACACATTAAAGACGAACATCGGCATCATGGACATCGCCCCCTATATAGTGTCATATGGTGTCACATTTCCATAGCCGGGCAAGCCATCCTCCCCAACAAATCCCCATCCATCAATCTCCCAATTTCCGGCACGAGGGTTCACCACTGGTAATGACTCATAATCGATACATTTACATTTTAAAGCATGTGAACAGCGAAAAGCTTTTGGAAAAAACGTTGTTCACACTTGATAATTAAACACTGTTTTTCTACGCCAAGGTTTAAATCAAATTTTGAAAAATTAAGCTCCACTCCGTTTACAATCTCTCAAGCACGCGTCACAGAGAAATTCGAAAGAATCTCATAAACGTTATCTTTAAAAATGGTAAAATCTACACGGTTTATTCATTCATCCAATACGTTTTGAAGACTTCTTGGCCAGGTAAACACCTCTATAAAAATAGGAGTCCTTTTTCATTTCTTTATTCCGGAACAAGGGCAAAGTGAAGAATATTTCTTGAGTTTAGTTTATAGCATTTGTAAACCAAAACCGCAAGTAGCTGAGTTCTAAACAGCCTATACGTGATGCACATGTGATATACACTACGAGAATGAAAATGCTCTGTAGGTTCAACGTCTACTAATAACAACACGAAAAGAAACAAACAGTACATCTGTGACAAGTTTATGTTATCTGCTTACCCTTGATATGTAGGTGAAGACGGGGTTTGTGTGTGGTGGATGTGGTCCGAATGGGTGTGGACAAATGGACGAGGATAGGAGCCATGCTTAAGAGTAGAATACTGCACAATCGGATCCGCAATAGTCACAACTATGTACCTTACCAATGACGCAGTCAGGATCTTGGGGGGGGGTAGGGGAACAAGAGTTCCCGCAGAGGGGAGGGGTAGTTGCGCCCCCGCCCCGCTACGTAGCAAGGTTCTGAGGAGGGGGGATTGGGGTTAAAGAATTCCAGGCAGGTGCCTCTCCCCTTGGCTACGCCATGGTATCTTACGGCTATTGCCTCAAAGCAGTGGTTCTGTAAGGTTTACGGTTGTTGTGGTAGACGGACTTTGTATTAAAAATTGTAATGATGGCGCACCTAGTCCCTGCCACTAGAATAGCTCCTTAATAGCCCTTATAAATCATCTTGTACTTCCTTTATACAAGTGTTTGCACTTTGTAGGGGACCGCTCCGTCCATAACCAGGAGTCTTGATAACTATCAACTGCGCTATCTACTTTTATACATGGGAGGTCGCGGTGGAGACTGAAGCATATTATAAGACGTTTATTATTTGTAAAATTACCTCCCGAGATTAAAATAAAAAATTAAATGCCTAAAACTCGGGGGAGGGTCAACCCCCATAGTCTTTCCTCGAGTTTATCAATGAGGCCTACAATGCTCACAAAACGGACCTCACTAAACATGCTGTATATGTAATGTATCTAATTTTATGCAAATACATGTACATGCAATATGATGAGTTTGTGTACTTTGTAAACAACAGGTGGCAACAAATGGCCAAAAAAATTAAGGAACAGAATCTGATTCATTTTATTTACAACTGTAATTTGATTTCCCTGGCAAGTGACATGTTCAATACATAATTGATGGTGTAGTCCTGTTCCTTTGAATTTTATGTTGTACAAATGGCTCTGAAAAGACAATTCTACAATTAAAAGGTCCATCTGAACTTATGACGTGTTGCTACAACTTACTAGGAAAGTTATGATGCCTTTAGCCCATTGTAAGTTTCTTGAAATAAATTAAAGCAACCATCATATGATGCAGTGTTATGAATGGTGAATTAAATTACACTGGGCCATTGTTTTTCATGAAATAACCCCTGTACATCTGACTTTATATCTGCATATACACACATTGAGTCATAACTGCATATCTTACAATCCAACCTCCAACGTGCACCTTGCAATAGAGTCTTTGTCAAAGTAGCATCAACGAGAGTTGCCACACAAAATTCCTTTCTTCTTTTTCAAAATTGATGGGAGGCTTTCCTCACGGACATGCTGTGCATGTTGACACCATCAAGTGACACTGATCAAGATGGAACATGTTTCTAGAGATTTCATCCCTTCTCACTATGTCAGACTTCATCTTCATTAAGTAACATGTTGGGGATGCCGTTCTTGATGGGGAATTTACGGCCTGACTCTGGACACACTAAGAATCCATCAAGTACTTCCACCTGTTATACAGAGAAAAACAAGAATAGCCCATGCCAAGCCCATGCATAAACCCGCGACTTCAATTTGTGATCAAAAAAGCACAGAAACCATCCTCATTCTAAAACCACATGTAATGTCGGGGATGCCAGGCCTCCATTGATCAAAATCAGTGAAGGCCTGGTCTTAGATTTCAGAAGATAAGATTGAGGGTTGTATTATGACCAAAGACATGACTCCGCCAAAAAATTGAATTACATGTTGGCCAGCAGTAAAAATGTGTATTAAATCAAACTCATTAATAAGTTATTAACAAGGATTATAAATATGTCACTCCTTAGTTGTTGGTCATCCTAACTTGTAAAAGACTTGCAATACACATGTACATACCAGCATGACCAGCACATACAAAAATGTATAATGTACTTGAACATGTAGGTCTGGAACACAACACTGGTTCCTATCTGGAATGCAACACTGGTTCCTAGCCAATCATAATATTTTACTTGACTCTTGAAGGTACTTATCAATGTTTTACCTCCAACATGACTCTGTGAGCAGCTCTGAGGAATTCTTCATTTGTTTCATAGTCTGCAACTGGTTCTGCTGGCAGGTCGCCCACCACATCCAGCTGAGGGGAGCAATTGTTAGAACATTTGCCTCGTCATGCCAACTCTTTTTCATTAAAAGTTGAAAACACTGTCACTTGGGACCAACAGAGGGCGCTTTGATAGTTTCCTCACAGGAATCCATGTAACAAAGTATGCACAAGTTGTTTCATGCATTGTTAATAAACTGACCTGGGATACTCATTTGCTTAGTACAGGTGGTGATATACCAATGTAGCAATTTGGCCAAAATTGCCCAGTTTAGAAATTTTGAGTTAACTTACCAAAAGAGTTCTGACAATACAGAAGAGGAAGATTGGTGTTTTCTAAACTTGGAGAGCCAACAAATTACTTCAAAAGGCCGTTTGGAGAAGTTCCTAACATACTGGTATATGTATATAAAGACATGCAGTGTTCAAGGGCATATTTCAACTAACTTTTAAGCAGCTTGCAATGTGCGTGTGCCCCCAAACTACTGACTTGGATGAATGTTTTCAGTAAATAATTAATTTAAACATGACTACTTAGTGCAAAAAATAGACTAAGGTCTGTATCCTTCAGAAAAGCTGAGTTTGTTGGATTATTAGAATTTACAAAAACAAGCAGATAAGACAACCATCTCAAATTTTCGCCCAAGCAAGTCCCCTCCCCACTTCTAAATGTTTCTGGATTTAACTTGTCTCTGAGACAATAAAAGTGTAAGGGGATAAGAGATCTGAAAACACTGTTTAGCAGCTCACTTAAATTCAGATTTATAAAGTACATTTTCAAAGTCTTTAGAAAGGGGTAGTTGATGCAAGAATTTTCTTTTTGATGACAAGGTAAATTCTGAAGTTATTACTATCTTCATTCAGCCTGTCTTCTCTCAAAACTGCTTCACACATGTTGTTTACAAGTATTTACCATCTGAGCAGCTTCATAAAGAGCCTTCCATTCCAACCGTGGAATCATTCTGGATATAAATTCTGGGTTGAACTCAACTTCAGTTATATTCATGTTTTCCACCTGGAAAATAGAGGAAACCAAATGACAGCCAGTAATATGTACTGCCTCACAGTTCTTGGAGTAGTGTCCTCAATGTCCAAATGACACGAATTGGCTCCACTGAGTTTAGCGTTAGTGCTCCTTTTGTTTGAATTTTGTATTGGATCGGTCATACTAATGCTCCGCAACATTACAGTAAAGTGAAAACGGTCCACCCAAATTCCAAACAGTCACCCAAAATACCTTAAACACCACCTACTGGCTTCCTTACAAATTAAAGGCAAACTGTTTGGGCTTCAGTGTTATTTTGGACTTGCAAATCCGACGGTTTTCACTCGACACATGCACAACACTTAGGAACTTCTCAAAGCCTCCAGTCACTCAAATACAATGTACGCGTGCCTAGATTTCGCTGGCACATTAACTCTTTAACTCTATAGACGAACATGGTCCTCCAAGGACGCACGCACGAGTGTCCTATACGTGGTCGGGGCACAAGACGTATTGATCACGACACATACCAACGACTGTTTCATGGTCAACATGTCTTGTGTTTCGACCACATATAGGTCACTCATGCATACGTCCTTGGAGGACCATGTTCATCCATGGAGTTAATGTGCCAGCAAAATCTAGGCATGTGTATTTGAATGACAGGATTTGTTGAGAAGTTCAGTGTTGTACATGTATGTGTGTGGAGTGAAAACGGTCGGATTTCGACAGATATAAACAGGCTATTTCATTTTCTATAAAATTTATGAAACTCTTTATCTGATTAAAAGTCACTTTATTGTAATTGATTTGAATTGGAAACTATTTGAACTAGGAATTAGGTCTACTAACTTTCGCTGTTTCAAAAATGGCAGTAGGACAGTTTTGAAAATTCGCAACTTTGAAGTGTTGTAACTTATAAATGAAACGTTATTTTGATTTACTTTTTATCCAATGTCTTTCTCATTAAAAGCTTTCATTGATGTACATTTCATCCAATTTGTAAATGTCAGGTGTTATACTAGGTCTAGGCCTCAAACTAATAGGCCTTTGACTTGACCAGTAGTACAGTAGGCAGTGCCAGGGGGATTTTTGGTGTTATTTTTTGGCTTCAGATTAACATTAAGTGAGAATCGGAGATTCCAATAATGATTGTAAGGTTTACCCACATTTGGGAAGAAAAATTTCCCAAATTGGAAACGCTAGTTGTCAAGCTCAAAGTTGCCACCTTGTTCATCCACCACCTTGTCACCTTTTGATTTAAACTGTGTGTTTATGTCCTTGAGATGACGTCACTGCACGCCGGCCCAGCAGGCCATTCACAAAAAGCATGCCGTGTCGGCACAAGCACGCCGATGAGCACCGCGGACATTGCCGCGCTCGGGAATCAGTCAGACACGGCATGTTTTTGGAATCTCTGATTCTTACTTAATGTTAATCCTACGCCGGGTGCATTAGACAGTTTGAGGACCATTTTAGAGGCAAATATGGAGGATTTTGATTCGAGGATACAAGTTACATGTATTTTGAGTGAAATGAATTGATAAACAAAAGTCTATGGAAGGTACTTGGACCCAACTATTGCCATCCATGTCCAAATGTTAAAAGCGGCAATTTGTTGAGTTCAAATTTATTTGGACAAACGTTAATAGACCCTACAGTCCCTAATATTACTAACGTAGAGTGAAACCTACATTATTGGCCCAAAATGAGCTTTTTTCCTACCATCCTGACCTATAAATCCCTCAACGATCCGCACACACCTGTGGCCGTACATCACGTGACAAAACAGGTGCAGCGTAACAAGCGTTTATGTTGCTGTGGATACCAGATCCAATAATTCTGACTACTCTTGTTAAGATGATGCATAGACACGTCAGGGAAATCTGTGGTCAGGGAACCACACTGATGCAGATGTGTGCGGATCGTCAAGGGATTTATAAGTCAAGATGGTGGGAAAAAGGGGCATTCATTACCATTAGCACCCTGTTCCTATAAGGAAACAAAGTCTACCTTTTTGGAAAAACCCACCTAAATAAGTTGGCAGTGATGTCCTCTTTCACATCAGAAAGTGAAGAGGGAAGGCTTTGGCTTTTAAGGGATATTATGGGGTAAAACGGCAGCGTAAATGATGCGACAAAGAGCTGTGAAGGAAGACGAATCTGGTTCCTTGACCTGAAACTATTTAAGTTTCTTTGGAGTAATTGCAGAATACCCCGCCACGCGAAATCACCCCCTAACAATCCATGGCTACGTAGTCAAGTGGAGGTTGTTCGACTTCGGGTTATCCTTGCTGCGTCAAGGTACGTGTTGTGTACAGCATTGAAGTCATTCTTGAGAATGAAGCACTGCAATGCAAAGTGAATGAGAATGGCTGAGGAATTTTCTAAGTCCAATGTGGGTCCTGGGGAGCGGCTACGCGGATACAAAGTGGGCCTTGTGGGTGGAAGCATGACTCCATATCTGCGTATCCATGGCTACGAGGTGGGTAAGGTGAGTGGCAGGGTATTCTGCAATTGTGCCGTTTCTTTTATGAAATTCAGTATATCCACAATGGCTGGGTCAGATAACAAGACGTGAAACAAAATGGCGTGATGCGGTCATCTTTCGACGAACTCAGATAAAAAATTCTGGTTTTCTTGCTTAAATATTGTCAAAATTTACCTAAACTAGAGCTACTAGGATTAAGGAATAGATCCTCAAGGTCTGAATGTTAGTTAGTTTGAAAAAGGGAACTTTGTTTTCCTCATAGTTATAGGAAGATGCCTAGAGAGGGTGCTAATGCTATGGAATGGTAATGAACGCCCCTTGTTCACGTTGTTCAGCCATGGTTCCATGGTTCAGCCTACCTCAATTTTTAAAGGGTATCCATTCTTCACTCCTTTCACGTGAGAGGTCAGCATGTTATGTGTCAGGAGCTTCATCCTTCTGATAAGTGACAACCGCATCAATTATGAAATTGGATCAATCACAGTGAAGCAAATAACACTACAGAAGTACATGTACATGTACAGTACTGGCTGAGCTTAGTGACGGTACATACACGTACATGTACATGTACGTGTACGTTCGACGTAATCTCTCACCATGGCCCGGCGCTGTGCACTGCACATGTTTAGACAGACCCCTCTACAAAGCTGGATGCATCAACAAGGGAAAACTTCAACTACCAGACGCATGTTGAACGGTAATGTCTGGTTTCTTCGAACATTTGTATGTGAGTATCCCCCTATGCTAACAAGGGTACCCGTCTATTTATATAAAAAAATTGGCTATTTGCAGATCAGCCGTATAAATGATTTTTTCACATGGCTTGTCTTCATACATCACACCTAAAAAGTTATTACCCCACGCACACAACACCACAAAAACCGGTAACGGTCTGTAAAATAATATCCCATGTAACCAGGACTGACCTCGCTGAACACTCATTTCGCGTTGAAAGCCTTGAACTTGAACAGCTTTAAAAGCTGGGAAAAAATTCTTTTCTTTTTTAGGGTTCCTTCTGGTAGCGAAGGCTCTACGTCTTAGTTAATCCTTTTTGACATGCTTGCCGTTAATCTTCTGAATCTTTGGGAGAAAAAAGGAGACTTTACTTGAAATAATCGCCAATCGAGCTTAGTTTACATATCTAACTTGTTATGATCTGTAAATAATGCTATGATTTCTTAATAAATGGTGTCCTCTCTTTTACTTCAAAGTAATATGATTTATTTTGGAAAATTTCCTGGATGAACCGGGCATCAATTCCGCCCCAGTCGCTCATGCAAAGTACATGTAAGTGCTCTACCATTTGAACCACTCCCTCCACTAATTCAAATCTAGTGACAGAAAAAGTTGATGAACAACCCCAGCAGGGCGTTCCTTCCGAACAGTAGTGTAGTAAATTTGTGCTGGAAATTGGGGATGTGGAACTGTGGGGTGATGACTTGCCAGGTCATGGAAATTTGATGGGGGGGGTGCTGACACCATATGACACTGCGGAGGTGGGGACGTTCATGCATGATACTGATGTATGTCTGTAATGTCTACAGAATCTTGCATCAGACCGAAATATAAAATTATGGCTTGTTTGTAGTTGCCCCTTTTTGAGTGTATTGAACAGACTTCAGTGGTTGTTAGGAAGTCCGAAACATTCTTCAAAATCCTCACCACGTGACTAAAGTGGACGATTAACCCATTCCCGCGTTTAACTTTGAACAATTTACGCCCACGCCTCTGAACACTAACACGGTCCTTTTCGGCCCCTTTCCTGAAATTAAAGTGGTATAGTATAACATAACCAATGGAGAAATAAGAGCATTGTGTTCTTATTCCTGATAAACCTATGATCAAAATGTTTAACGTGGCAGATTCAAAATTATAGAAAACAGCAACGCTAAAATGTATTTGGGACCGTCTAATATATAGAGCTTTCCAAAACAAAGAGTACTGAGGAACAATAGCCGAGTTTGCACCGGACTTCTTTAGGTATATCGACCACCTGAAGACATCACCTTTCGTACAGAAGCACATCAGTGTTCAATATTATTCGCAATACTTAGACTGTTTGCTGTGGTGTAACTACAGGGGCGGGGACGCGGGGGGGAGGGACGTCCCCAAGCAGATGCCCAGGCCCCCGGGTGTCCCTCCCCACTTGAAATCTGTGAATAATCTCTGTTGATTCTTTATCCAGTTCGTAATTGAGTTCGTCACAAAGGCGGGCGCGCCACAATTTGCAGGCCTCCATTGCATGAACGATCGCTTTAGTTGCGCGTTAGCTTCCGCTTCCATGGCTCCATAAACGGCAATCAATGCATGTAATTCTATGTGCAGTGCATGTGCAGTAGGAGTGGTGTGACGTCACACTTACAAACAGTATGCAGAGGCAGTTTATCAGTGCCCCCTTAAAAGTTACTCCACTGACTAGTAGTAGTGTTCTCCTCATTGTAAATTTTAAAGGTTTTGGGAACTGACCATAGAGTTATGTATACAGCTCTATGGTCATAAATATTAAAACGAACGGTAAATATTAAAATGGTTGCGGTAGGGGCCATGTCTCCCCATACACGATTTAGCTTATTTCTTGGCATCTCTGCAGGCCTATAGATATTCGTAGACAACTTTTAAATAAAAATAACGCTTTATAAGATTAAATATTCCAGAATATAAAAATGGCACCTAAACTAAAATTGGAACGTAGAAGGAGTCCCGTCCTATAACTGTGATATCCCACACAAACCCGTTCCAAGGATTCACGTTAGAAATACGGCGGCTTGACAAATAGTCACTGTGGCGCTGTACATTCACTCCGGTTGATGGGGATTTGGGGTACGCTCCTGATTACAGTTTGCGTAAAATGCCGCCGGCTGTATACGTTGTGCATTGCATTCAATGCACAGTGACTTTAAAGTGACAAAATAAATTCTGCAGACAAGATGGCGAATGGGTTTGTTTATTGTTGTGGATATTTTTGGCAGTTTTTCACCGTCCTTCCTTCTCTACCAGGCGGCCTTCGTTAGGCAGGTGAGTTTCTGTTACTGCTTAACGGTCACGAACGGTGGGCTTCTGTGACCAAAGTCGGCTACAAACCAGACAAACCACGGGTCCACAAAATGAAAATTAACCTGATAGGCCTACTGCCCACATGCAGTTAACATGGTCAAGCAACCAGGAGAGACGACAGCTAGCTACGAAGTTACGACACTGACTGTGTTACATATGATATAGGCCTAAGTTTGTCCATGGTTTTGTCTGAACTGGAGACATTTTCAGATACCAGTCATTCCAGTCAAAGACGGTACTCAGTAAACTTACTCCTATTTTACAGTCCTGAGCTTTCCTTTCTCAATGTAGTTTTAAGTGCACGTCCGCGCATGTTTTCTGTAGTGTTACTGTTAGTAATAGTAGGCCTATGCTGGATCAGTGCGGATCAGTTTTCACGAACTTGGCCTATTTGTATTACCTGCAGTATATCAAACAGTCTGTATTGTTATTGGCTCATTTCTTATGCCGTGGCATAGTGTATGGCCATGGTTTTCATGAGCCAGAAACTGGAGGGGGATAAGAAATTATCTGTACAGATTGTATCTCTGTGGGCCTACATTTACATGTACCAATGTACATGTAGAAATAGTGGACACTTCTACAAGTGTTGCTTGTTCTTTGTAGATGTACAGACTCCTTCACCATTGTTCACAAGTAAGGGTAATCCTTGTACGGAAAGAGTTCCATACATAGACATCACTGGACACCATGTACACAAACTCTATGAGACTTGTCTGAGAAGTTTTAAGTGTTTTCTAAGTACTGTACAGTGTAAATGCTTCGATATTTTCACTGCTAAATTTGACTTTTGAGGATATGTTGTAAATCACTTTCTGGTGGCTCACAAACCATTGCAAGAGAAACTAATTGTAAGTGATTCTCGTATAATGGAAAGGGAAAGAGTTTTATTTATGGACAAAGTTGATTTTCCCTTAAAATATTACGACAGCCGTCAGAAAGTGATAACATGTCCTAAAAAGTGAAACTTAGCTGAGAAAATTCGGGAACGTTTACGTAGAAAACACGTAGGTTTTTCCTGACAAGTCACATACAGTACGGTAGGTTTGTGCAAGGGGGCATCAAGTGTTGTCAGTATATGAACTCTTTTCATGTTTTTGCCATGCTTATTGTAAAACACGTTAATTTTTTTCTCTTTCACTCACAGTATCATCTGCTGCCTCGGCAGTCTTTTTTTCTCTGGCATTGCTTTATGCTTAGCATTTTATTTTCTGTTAAGGAGAAACGACGAAAAAGTGGAGATCCTTTGATTCGAATAGGCTTGGACGCGAAGCCCCTCCCCACTTTTATTGTCCATATTGTACAAAAGAACAAAAATGCTTTACTGATGCTTTTAGAGCAGTGAGACGAATTCCATCCTTTGTCCAGTGTTCGCTGGCGATGTACATTTGCATACAAGCTTCATTCCTGTCCCAAGCTGTTGAGTAACTCCTCGGCTGGGTACACAACTATTTTTCATTCACAGGCACACTTTCTTTACATGAAGTTACACACAGACATGCAGTCGACACCATGAGTGTATCGCATGGCACGCGCACTGCCTTACAGTCCAGTGGATTTATATCTATATTTTAGTTGTGGAAATAGGCCCTATGCTAAATTTAAGTTAGCAAAGGCTATCGATATGACGATGCAGAGCTTGGGACCTTTTACACCATCAAGCATGTTTCTTGAGTGACTGATTTGAGAACTACAGTTTACTGTCTCTTCAAATGAAGATTACGTTTACAACATCAGAAGTACATGCCTACTCTTTGAATTCCCCAGTCACCAAAGTAAATTCTTCCGTTTGGAAATACATGCATTCGGAATATCATCTCATTCATCTGGGAAGTATCATACGTAAGTTTCTAAACGATTAATCTGTTTGGCAAAATTGTACATGAATTGTGATAGTTGAAGTTGCTTTTGAAAATTGTTATATAATGTTCAGAGAAAGAGTTAAAACTGAGGTTTAACCGAAAGTAAAGTGACTAAATGTGAATTTTAAAATCAACAAGGAAGTATGATAAAAATAATAAAAATTATACATTACCATAAGAATATAAATCTAACTGAATATGGAAAAAAGATGGAATAAAACTAAAATGGAAGGGATATGTAAAAAATGAAACTGAAATAGAAGGGTTGCACGTATGTAATAATGAACGAGACACATGAAAAATTTACTTGTACATGTACATGTCTATTCATGTAGTGCAACGTAAGGAGTGGGTTCACTTTAATTGAAAATCACTAATCTCAACAGAACATGTCAACGTGTCGTATCTAAAAATTTGAGTGTTAACCGTATTGAACGTCTAAAACAATCTACTTTATTTTTGAGAGCGTTTCTTACCGTGTTTGACATTGAAATTTAACGTCACAAGTGCTTTTTCTGTGTCAAGTTTGATGTCTCATTTCTTGAGGAATGTCCAAACTGTACATGTACATTCTTAAGAATAATCAGCGCTTTACTGAATAGGGTGATGTCACAAGAGTGGTTTAATTGCAACAAACATTGTACATTGTACACATATGATCATGATTGTATGCACTCCCTATGTACATGTACATGTATGTGCATTGGGGACTATCCTCCACTGAGCTCCCAGCAATGACAAACCAAAAGTGGCTTTATGGTAGTCATAGCTACATGTAGCAGTGGCATGACTCCCGAATTCTTTAAATGTGGCATTGTAATGTAATTTGTAACAAACTGAATTTTGTTTTCACCTTGGCCATTCATTGCTCAAGTTGATATGCAAGCTGCTCAATCATGTAAATAACCATGTGGACTGGATCCGGAGATCAAGTCCTCTGATCATCGGAATTCATTTCTTTTTTTATTTCATTCTTTTTTCCATTTTTTCCAATCAAATCTTACTTGAAAATAGTGCAAGTCGTTTTACATGTACAATGTACATGTATTGATCTTTGGTACTGGTGGTTTCATCCTTCTGGAGGATTATTTTAAGGAAAATGAAGGCTTGCAAGTTGCACATACATGAACCTGTACATGTACATGTACATGTACATATCATCACCGTTTTCACAAAGAGCCACACGTGGATTTTGAAGAAAACTGGTTGAGGGAAAATCACCAGAGACATTTCTCCTATTGCAAAACTGCCCAACATACCAATATGGAACAAGTTTATTCAGTAAAAACCCTCCAATGATTCTTTGAGAGTTCAACTTTTACCTGAACCAAGTAATTAAATGAACACAGTGGTTATACGAGTGATAAGCCAAAATCCGTAAGTGCAGTAAACTTAAGATGTGTGTCCGTTTGTGAAATCAAAAATTCACGTTGTCCTACATTTTGGCCCTTCTGTTCGATGTATTTTTCCACAGGCAATTTTTGCTTTTGCTGTTGAGGGCATTTCTTATTACATGTAAAAATGATATCAGGTCCAGTCCAAGTTCAGTGTGCATTTTGCAGTGCCTTAATCGAGCAATCATACCCAATTTACATTATCATATTTACTGAACATACCATGGTACATGTATGTAGGTATGTCCCTGTTTTTACTTTAGACAATCAGTTGACAGTACATGTACATGTGCTTAGTACATAAGTATACACCTGTTGGTACCCCCATCTGCTACCGGTACATGTATGAACAATGTACATGTGTACATGAACACATACATGTACATGTAGTAGAAATACATGTTAAGTGATCAGTATGAGTGATTCAACACACAAGATTCCTGATGATGTGTATCCTGTTTCAATCCACCGCACTGCAGTGTATGGGTAATCACTTGCATGTATCATTCATCAACCAGTCCCACAGTTCGTTTAGGCTTTTCCTGACAGGATTTGCCTTACATGGGACATTAATAATTTCCAAGTAGCAACAAATGCATTTATAATTATATGTCATGGAAAATTTATGGAAAATTTGGGTAAAAAGTGGGTGTACTAGGATGGGAAAAAAGTCATGAAAAATAATGGAAATCAAGATACTGGTAATGCGAGGGTTACATTTATTTTTGATGGGTCACTTTCATACGATAATGGAAAACAGAAGCTGAACAGGAGATTGACTTCCAGGAAACATGGTAAAGAGAGTGAATGACCTATGTGAAAGTTCTTTGGAGAGGTTCTCGGTAAATGTGTAAGAGTGTTAATGACAAGTGGAGAATACGGTAGTGCATTCATCACCCACATGCATACATGTACATTAATGTAAGCAATGCTTCATCATAAGCAGATAAATGTTCCATAATTCATTGTATGATGAGTATGTTGAATGCCATTGAAATGAGAAACAACACACAGCAGTGTACTTCCACATGTCATCTGTTTACCTGTACTGCGCTGTGTAATGTGAGCAGGTCATTCACTTTTCCTGGTAGCAAAGATGAGGATGGCAAAATGTTATCTCCTTGAACTTCAAACTTTATCCTTTCCTCAAGCAAACAGTTCTCAGTTTGTGTGCTTGTCATCACAGCCTTAGTTAAAGATGTTGAGAGTAGACAGTTGGTGTGTTGGGCCTTTGTGTTGTCAAGTCGTCTGATTTCTCAGGAGACCGGAAACACGAACTACGTACATGTACTTGGTAGATCTGCTGCTCATCTGCTGTGAGTGTTGCTGATCCTCTTATGGAAACTGTTATGCACATCTGTGCCTTTGAAATTGTAAGTACTGTCGTTACTTGTGAATTTAGCACTTAGAGCAAGCAAGTTTGTGTGAGTACTTGCTTCAGACAGTACCGTACTTGTTTCAGAAGTTGATTTTCTCTGGCTTGACACACACCAATAGATTAAACTTTGTCAATGCACTGTGAAAACAAAAATGATGAGAACAGTAACCTTGGCAGAGGTGATAATAATGACAACCAGTTTGGCACTGTGGATGTCATTGTAAACATCTGCTGTCATGTGATACCGACAGAAGGCAGTCATTGTGACGAGCACATTGTCTTGAATAGTAATGACAGACCTACACGCATGTACATAAATGGAACAATCAACATTACAAACAGTGAAGTTGGCAATCTCTTATGCTGCAGATTTGAGTGCTACGTGTATGTATGTACTTGTACTGCGCGTACATGTACATGTACATTGGGGGTCCCCTTATTGAATGAACTTAATTGCGTGTGCGGATGAGTGTACGTTTTCTGTACCGTAACTGTATCACATGCACATGAGAAAAGGTGACATCAGAAAAAGAATGCAAGCTGCTGCATGTTGTACTGTTGACAACAAACTACTTACATGTACATGTATACTGTTTGACAATTTGTAACTACCGGTAGGAAGGACAGTCTGTGGTTTTGTAGTGTAAAACCTGGTGGCATTCACCAATATACATGTACAGCCTATACACATGTGTATGCAAGTACGGATGTGAGACATTCGTCAACAATAAACTTAACCATCATGTGTTATCAAAGACGTACATGTGTACGGTCATGTACCCATGAAGGAAGGAGGAGACTTCCTCCATGATGTACATGTACCCAAGTGATGAACAATGTATAGTATACATTGTGTTCCTCCTGGTTTTGATTCAATAATTTTTTAACTTACGTGTACATACATAGTGTGTAATACGAATGACACATTAATGTATACACAACAGAATACATGTGCCTGTAATTGACATTCTTAAAAATTAAATGAATTTTAAATTAAACATGTCTTCCTGTGTATTTAAGGTAGATTAAACTAAAAGTTAACACTTACATGTGTATTCACTCTGTACCGTACATGTGCAGTGTGCCTGGGTAGGCCTTCGCTAGGTCAATGGACAGTTTCTTTTGTGAGTCAAAATAGGACTGAGTTGTGGTCCCACAAAAATGTAGGTGAAATATTGTTTGCTTGTCTCCACAACTGGACATGTACATTGCATGTGTGTACATGTACATGTACACACATGTGCATGCATATATATTTGCATGTGTCTTAAAAACAGGGTGAACAAGTAATTTTACTTTTAGGCCACACTTTACATGTGTTTTTATAGAAGATGAAATAAAAAAATAATTCACTTTTGTGTAGAGGTCAATCATTGTTCTGTGTCAGTGGGTTGGTTAATTAACAAAGAAACTTGCCACAGGATGCAGAGAAACTTCAGTGAAAAGGATGTTCTGTGGTTACGCTGTAAACGGGACCTGTAAATTTCAAAATTATTTTTCTGACACAGTTAGTTTGAAAGAAAAATAAGATTATAAACTGACCAATGTTAAATTTATTTTAGTCCATTTATTTTAGTCGCAGATCTACGTTTGAAATAGTGTTGCCTTAAATGTGAAATTGTTCATTCTTGCCGTGAATGTTTTTCTTAAAGACAAACTTTCCAAACTTGTAATTCGATTTAGATTTAACATACAATGAATCCACTTTTAAATTTCACTGGGCCGTTAGGCAGTGAGATTAAGTACTAGTAGGCCTACACATCAGTAGATAAGATTAAATTAAAAAAATTCATATGTATATAATTTGTATTCGTACAAGTTTAGAGACATATACTAATGTACAGTACATGATGCAGTTTGGTTGTACACGTACATGTACGTGTGTAGTTGATACATGTTCATATTCTGGTTTACACAGGTCCAATTAAATGCACATTATATTTTTCTAACAGCTTGTTGCGCACATGCACATGCGTAATGCATCGATTCTGTGTCCCTCACATCTGTGTGCATATCTGCCATTGGATGAGTGTATGAATATCAGATGTGATTGCACAGCAGTGACCCTGCCAAATAAGGCAAGGCCTACCACAGCGGGGAGACATAGCATTGGACTATGCCATTTCCATGCAAGATCGACACATGCTTTGGGTTGTAGTACATAAACATTGCATGTCTGTAGTCCATCTCATCCAAGTTACTTTTTGTATTTTCCCTTTGATCCCAACAAAGAACATACATGTACTTGGTACTAAGGGACAGAAGTTTGGTGTTTTGGATAAACATTATGCAAATGTGATTGTGGACATGAAGCATAAGTACATGTACAGTTTATCTACATGTACACCTACTTGTACATGTGACTACACCGTACATACATATGTGCACATTCAAACCTCGTTAAAACATGTAAGAGGTTGTTTAGACTTGGCAAATTACCTGGTACTTGTACATATGTACCTTGCTATAACAGGAACTTTGTATTATCAGGAATGAAACCTTTAAAAAACAAATGATTAGGACCTAAAAATGTCCTTGTTATAAGCAAAGTCTTGTATTAATAGTATTCTTATTAACGAGGTTTGACTGTACATTGAAGGATGTTATCCCTTGAACATAATCAGAACTTGGAAAAAAATTTTGTGTGTGGCTGCCTCTTGAAGCAGTACATATAATTATGCACTCTGGAAAAATGCTCTAGAAAAATGGGTAATAAGTCGCCAGATTCAGGTTATCAGTTTTTGATATGGCTGAATTGAGTACATCAAAAGCTACAATTTGATTTATGAATGACCCCTGTGGTGTACTGCGTTCAAGAGATATTTAGATATTTGTATATCCACATTTTCGGATTCAATAAAAGCACTTTTTGAGAGAAAGTTCAGAAAGTGGAGCACTTGGAAACACAATGCTATGTAGGATTTCCTACTGAATGGTCAATTTTTCATCTTTATTCATCAGTATCCATGTTTGTAGTCACAAATGCTGAAAACATAAATGTTATACAAGCTAATAGAGGAAAAAACACAAAATCACATATTTGAAGACAATTTGCCGTCTCCATATAGAACAGGCCATAACATATTTTGGAATTGTGTGACTTCATTACCCTTTTTTGCAGAGCGGGTCACATATGGAAGTCTTGATGCACAACTGCATGCCATACATGTCAGTGATGCGCTACATTGTACTTTCTTCCTTATCATTTGCAGGATAACAAACTTGTCTTCAAACATGAAAACAAAATTCAACCGTCAAACAGGTACATGTATACATGTATGTACATGTACATCTTGGAAACAAGATTTTGACCAGATTTTTTGGGGGAACTGATGTACTGGTAGTCTGGTACCAACCTCTTGTTTTCAGTATCTGCCCCAAGTAGGAACAGAAGAGGGTGTGTTTTTAGATGAAAATTATGGTCCTTTGGGAGGAACTCACCGTGTAGGCGTGCAAGTTTAAATGCGCATTTGGCATGGGGCACGCTGAGTATATTGTGCAACAAATTTATGCTGGTCTTCGCATGTGCGCCAAACGTGTTCGAGAACCTAGTTGGAAAACTTTTCACCAGCCTGTCTTTCTTTCGCCATTGAGGGTGCACTTCAACTCAGGGCAGATTGCTTGAAGATTCATGGGTACATGTAAATTTATCGTTTTGTACCACTTTCCAAATCATTATTCTGCACATTACCAGTACAAGCCTGCATACGTGGCCTGCATATTGATTGATCAACTACCAGCAAAATTTTAGTGTGCATTGCTTCAAGTATTCATAATCATAAAATACTGAGCTCATGTTTGATTTCAGATGGAAACTGTCATTCAGTGGTGGTGGGGGAGAGGCATGTACAGTGTACACATGTACATGTGTACAGTGATGTGCAGTCGTTTCTTTCGTTTTGTACAAATAGAAAGCACCAGAAATTTAGAAACAATGCCAACACCATTCTTTTTTTGAGGGGGTAATAAGGATTCTTTAATATTGGATGAAAAAAAATTGGGCAGTCATTTTTAAGAAAAATTTGAGTTCCAGGAGTTCCTGTCTCCTGGTATTTTTCTCATTTTTATGTGCAAACAAAGTGTATTATATTTTTGGACTTCCTTCCCCTTTCTTGAGCATGTCAATAGGCAAAGACCAAAAAAGATGACAATACATGTAACTGCCTCTCCATGCACAGTACAATTTGTGTGCTCGTGAAAATAAAGTGACAAGATTGGTGATTGACAAATCGCAATGAACAATAATTTGTTGATTCCCATCGTTACGTTGTTTTCATGTAGGCCTGTACTGCCTTTACTGGTATTTAAATGTACACACCACGTTGGGTGACCACTGGTGAGTGGGGGACCGTGATCCACCTTGAAATCCATGCTTTAGCTGTAGTGTACATGTACATTCAGTGCACTGGTAGGCCTTATGGGTGCACTGAACTAATTGAAGCCCCATTGAGTCAATGTAAAATTGACCACTGTTTGCAGCCCCCAGTGCGGGCAACCGAAGTCCCTCAGGCCTCTCAAACAAAAAACAAAGTGTTCTGGGGTCATTCATCTTTCAATTGATTTTCAATTTTTAGTACATGTAGGTTAACCAATGAAATTTCTAATTATCCACCCAAAACAAATTCACCTTCCAAAAAGTGAACGTTCCCAAGTCTGTCAGCGGCCATTTTTCAAATGACATCCCTCCACCTTTTCAGGCTCTTGGGACAACTTTTCAGTGGCATGTTTCTATGCTTCGCCCTGGGATGGGAGCCTTTGAATCTAGGGAGTTCATTCTGGGCCATTCTTTCACAATCCCACGAATTCTTGGGCCACACAATCTCCTCTTTTTCAAATAATCTGTACTTTTGAGCGCCTCGGCCTGCTGAAGAATTTCCCTTGAATTGGGCAGTGCACCCTTATAGCCTTGTATACATTTTGTGGCATCTTCATTTACCAATGTACACAAGTACCATGTGTCACAAGGTTGGCATGACTGTTCATACCAGCAATGTA